TTTAATGCATCTGTATTTCATTATGGCCAGTTTGCCACTGGGTTACATGTTATAAGTTTACAATTACACCTTTATGTTTACAAGTTAAACTCATGATCAATTAAAATAAGTTTTTCATGTCTTTTTTTTCTTACTGTACTGAAAACAAACCAAACCCTGAATTCAAAATGGAGTTTTTACACATGTGGAGGTTTTTAACTGTAGGGTGAAAACTTGTCCTCAGAGAAGTGGCCCTGCTGCTACTGAAGTGCCCATCATCATCATCATCATCATCATCATCATCATCATCATCATCATCATCATCATCATCTTACCATTTCACTGGTTTCGTTATACATGGTTTTATATTCCTCAGATAAAGAGTTGAGCAGGTCGTTGTTTAAACCTTTCTTGGTGATCTCCATGGGAACGAAGAAGGCTGTCCTCTCCACACTGAGAGCTTCAGGCAGGTGGACAGTCAGCAGGCCTGCAGGTTTCAGTGGGACAGATTCAGTTAATGTCAGAGAGAGTGATGTTCCCTGTCTGGTTCAAATACCTGGATATGACCACGTGCCTTCAGTTTATCAGACTGTTGAAATGAAAGATGGACGACGCTCGTAACAGTGACTCTCTAAATATCGTATATCATATAATACTGATTCTACTGCAGTGATTCTTCAGTTGTCAGGCTGACTTCAATCTGAGCGTGGTGTTGTTATGTATTCTGTTTCCAACAGCACGGAGAGAGCTGCAGAAAATTAAAGTGCTAATCAAAAATATTCTAAAATATCAACACATCAGTGTGAGAGACCTTTGACCCCGAATGATGGTCTGTAACACACTGAGCTGGTCTGAGGAGGTGCAGCTCTTAGTCTCCGTTTCTCTGTGTGAATTCACTATAACTGGACTTTGTGACCATAATAAACAACTTTCAAATTCAACAATGAGTTTTCAGTCTCAGCTTTAAACCATCATGGAGAAGTTCAGAGGATCTGGACATCTGGTTCACACCTGTAGGTTTCTATTGCCTGACCAGGACAGTGTGAAGTTGGGGAATAAAGACTCGACACTCTGGAAACTAAGAATTTCCATATTCTAATATTACAGGGAGCAGTGTGACGGTACCGTTCAGGGGAAGATGGGTGATGATTTCTGTTGTTGTTCGTTCCATCACATCAAAATGAAAAACTCAGAGTGTCTCTTGTATCTGTAACCTACCTTCAGACTTTACAGCAACAACACAAGCAAACATCTCTGCATTAGAATATGTGCCCATTACAAATATTCACAGTGTCATTTCACCCTAAATAATAAAAAGCCGGCAGCTTGGCACGCAACAACAACAACATCAACAACAACAACAACAACAACAACAACAACAACAACAACAACAACAACAACAACAACAACAACAACACTGTTGGAGGCTTTATTGGGGAAAGGTCAGTGCAGCTGTTAAAAAATACCCTGGGATATGAAATTCCAAATTCTTGCCCAGTGATGTCTCTTGGGAACATTAAAGGTTCTGTGATAAGAAAAGATTTCTACCCGACCAAAGTTTTACTCGCAGAAAGCAAGACAGACGTTTCCAGAAACTGGCTGAATGTAAACGCTCCAAATCAGGGACAGTGGTTAGAAACGGTCGGAGACATTTTCATCATGGAAAAGTTGACATATAATCAGAAATAATACATTTAAAAAGAACTGGGAAAAATTGACAATTTATATGGGACACAACACAGACTGAATCAATGCCCAACTAAATAGTGGTGTGAATGTTGAAATATTTCCAGACCACTTAAATGTTATTTTAATTTTATATTTTCTCATTTATATGTATTATAATGTCTTGTTCTTGATATACTGTTCTGTTTATGTTCTTGTGAAAACCTAATAAAAATAAAAATTTTATTCAAAGTTCCCAGAGTGTCTTTATTCTCTAACTTCACATCTTGTTCCCTCTGACCTATGTACTGGTTCTGTACTGGTTCTGTACTGGTTCTGTACTGGTTCTGTACTGGTTCTGTACTGGTTCTGTACTGGTGCTGCACTGTTAATGACACTTGCACTGTAGGTTGTGGGACGTATTCTAACTAACATCTCTAGATCTTGTCTCAGTAATCCAGTGTTTAAGTGCATGATAAAATATGGACCAGTCGTCCTGCAAACAAGAGATCGAACTCTCTCTGATGTAGATGTAGAGTAGATAGAAGTATCAGCAGACCCATTACATCATTCATTCATTCATTCATTGATATTTCTTACCTGAAATGGTCACCAAGCACAGAGTGCTGGTCCACAGCTGGTCTGGTCGTACCATGGTGAGTCCGAGTCAGTACACTTTAGTCCAGGACTCTGGGGATCTCTGGGACCTTCTTGATTACATAAATGGTGTTGTAGTCTCTTGTGTCAGGGGTTTTATTCATTCAGGATAAGAATGGGCAGGGATTAGAGGTTTGACCAGAGCTGAATCATATCTCCTCTACATTATTCAGACGTAAAGGAAAACCTGCCTCACATACACCCTCACTGTTTACTTTGGCTAAGAAATGGAGCTTAATTTAGTTTGTTAAGATATCCGTGTGTTGCGCAAACTTTTTACTGCAATTATTATTTCATCTTAAGTTTACTTTGAAAACAAAGTGTGGGAGGGGCCAGTTGTATATGCCTTTGTCAGGGTGAACTGTCAAACTAAAAGCCTTGGGAGAATGCTTAGTTTTTGTTTGCAATTAAATCTACTGACACAACACTCCTCTGCACTTTCCCACTCTCTCAGGTTGATTTACTGTTATCATCTGCATTTAACTCTACTGTATCTACACTGTCCAACCCTAATTTTATGTTTTAAGTTTTCTAACAGTAATTTTCTTTTTCTTTAATTGTGTACAAAAGTCAGTAAAATGACAGAAATTATTTGTGAATTAACAGCCAAACTTCTATTTTAAGCATTATGCCAATAATAATGAATTACATTTATTTCCCATTTTTGTAAAGAAAAATTACTGTATTATTTATACAGTGTTTTTTCTACTTTCTTAAATTACATACAAATCTGTGTAAAATGACAGTAATTATCTGTAATTAAAAACGTAGCTTGTTATTATAAAGGTTAATGTCCATATGAACAATTTAAAGATCTTCTCTGTAATTTCAGGGTGAATCTTATTAGTTTTATATTTATGTGACTTCTACATTCAAACTTTATAATTCTGGATGAAATGTAACAAACTTTTTTTCATCACATCAAACATTCAAACTTCAAACAAAAAGAGTTTGAAGTACTGGAATGTATCCCAGCATGCACTGGGTATATGGTATATGATTCATATACCATAAAAGAAAACAGTACAAATGTGACATTGATCAATTCATTTGCTGTGGCCCCCAGATTCCATCAGCTCAGGGAACCTTGTTCAATAAACTAGATCTTCGGTCTGCAAACACTAACATGTGGTGTTCTGTATACTGTACCGTGTGTGTGTGTGTGTGTGTGTGTGTGTGTGTGTGTGGTGCGTGGTGCGTGTGTGTGAAGTGGCACACCTGCTCGTGGACGTCATTGGTTTTTGAAACTTGACGTTTTGAGACCGAGATTGTAGCTTAAGATAGGACGTCACCAATCTTGGTTTTTTGGCGCCAGAAGAAACCATATCTGGATGAGAGGGTGGAGCTGGGGAGGAGGGAGGGGTGGATCTGACCTGTGTCCTCGAGGACACCAGGTAAACCCACCTGCATCAGCAACCTGACAGCAACAGGCTCCTGGCTGAGCCGTGCGAAGATGCTGCTAACACGGTTAGCTGCCTCAACTGTTACATTAGTCTTACAGGCTAATTGCAAATATCATATATGTGAGGAGTAACTTGTAATGTTATTGTAGCTGAAGTTAGCATGTGTGCTAACGTTAAACTGTGAAACCACAGTGTAAAACGTTTTCTAACACTAAGACTGATGATGAATAACGGCTCCTGGACTTTTTGCACCTTCCCTCCATCACTTATGGACGGCTGCTACAGCTTCCAGTCAACCTGTCAGACTGTTGCTCTGTCCTCACTGAGCTATGAAGTATTATTTTACATCTCTATTATAATTTATACTTGTTACTAAATAAGATTTATCCACCTCTTTATTATGCAAACTTGTGACAGTGAAGTTCACCTGCACCTTCATTCACAACTGTATTCTCAACACTGATCATTTGTTCAGTTTTGATTCAGACTTTCAACAAATACAAATCTCTTTGACACAAGTGCAATTGTTTCACATACACAAACCTGAATTTCTCAAGCAGATTTATTTTACAGGTTTACAAAGGTTGGAATTACTTGTGAACATCACTTTACAAGCTCAAAATCATTTTGACCCTTATTTGAACCCATACAGGAATGGGGTGCCAATGACTTGGCATGTCTTGCTGGTTGTGGGGGACCATAAGGTGCGGCACTGGCCTGAGGTGGGTTCTGGCTTCCCATTGAAAACACATAATTATACAGCTGTTGGAATGAACTTTCTACTGCAGGGAAAACCAGGTCCTTTTAGGCAGCTGTTCACAATACAGTAATGAGTAACATTTTTAATTAAACTTCATTACACTTACCATTATTAACTTTTTGTCTTCTGCATTTAAAAGCGAAGTTGGTGTCTTCTGGTCCTAATGCCCATATGTGCAGTGCATGTGTTTTTGGCTTAAAATGAGTCTTAATTTTTGTGAAACAGTCTGACTAACATTAGACTGATCTATGACTGAACCAACAGTACAGACCAGTCTGACATATCTGTGACAAGTGGAGACAAAGTTTAAAGAAGTGACGACACAGTGGATGGAAGTAAATATACATTCAGGTTTTTTAGGTTTTTGGAAACAACCAGAGTAATTACAAGGTTGTAATGGATGAGTAACGCCAGGAGGGGGCAGTAATGCAACATAATAGATGCCAACTGCCGTAAAAACCCAAAGAAAATAACGGACATGTCTGCAGTACACGCTGCGGGGCAGTAGGTGGCGGTAGAGCTTCTGATAGCCGCCGGTAGCACCACAGAAGAAGAAGTAGCAGCAGCAGCAGCAGGTCCACTGAGGGACGGTCAACAGTTCTCCTTATATCTTCACTGTAAATTGTCAAAACGTCGTACGCAATGAGGTAATTATCCTTCAACACGCCGAACATTACACGCACGGTGTTTGTAACAGATCTGTATGAGAAGTGTTTACGTCAGCTGATGTTAGCTCCTGTGCTAAGAAGCTAGCTGCGTGTATTGTTTGAACGCTGCCCACAGGCTAACAAGTTAGCTGGGTAGAGAATTCACAATTCATCCTTCATCCAGATGTTAAGCATGTTCACGTTGTCACCTCTGAAGCACCGGGGGTCTGTTACCCTCGTGTAGCTCATTTAGCCATTGTCTGGCAGGGTAATGTTAAGCTAGCAACGCCTGGCCAAGAGAATGAATGGACCCCCACTGTTGTCTGTACGGGAGCCGAGAAGCTCAGCAGCGTTACGTTAGCTTAGCCACATAGCTTTCCTGTTCGCTTTGCAGCGAAATCAAATGGTTAAAAGCTCTATTTCTGAGTCTCCACATGTTGCTGTGTTTGTGTCTAGAGGGGACCGCGGCAGGGGCCGGGGAGGCCGCTTCGGGTCCCGCGGCGGACTGGTCCAGGGGTGAGTTCAGCCTCCGAGCTGCTGCTTCTCTGTCTCTTCATTAACGCGTCATGACTCAAAAGCCCAGTTACAGTGTGTGAGGGTCATCGCAGTCCTCCAAGACTCCAGAGTCCTGGTTTCTGCTCATCTCAGATCATCCACAGCTGTTTTCAGTTGAACGAATCACTGCTAGACACACTCACTGAGCACTTTATTAGGAACACATGTACAAGTTCAATCAGCTAATCATGAAGTAGCGGTAGATAAAACCCTGTAGATTCACATGATGTTCACATCAAACATCAGAATAAGGAAGAGCTAACATGAGCTAACATGGAAACAACACAGACATGTAGCAGCTGAGTGTCCAGGCACTTTAGAAGAACTAAACTGCAGCTCTGATGTGAACCTGCTCACATTAAAGCTGTAGTCTCCATTATTTAATTTCAAACTGAATATGTTGAAGCTCAGTCTGAAGAACAAAACATGTAACTGTCCCAGAACTTGTGGTGTGGAGTGAACATCAGATATTCTTCTATGATGACTGTTGATGTTGTTATTACGAAACTACAAACTGTTTCTCTGCTCTTCACTCCTGTTCAGGTACCGACCGTTTGTCCCACACATCCCATTTGATTTTTATGTGGTGAGTAAAGGTGTTTCACTGCCTCCTGCAGTCTGTTTCAGCTCTTGACTGCAGCCACCATCACTGCTAGATGTGGTTGGGTGTAGTTTGGCACTGTTGCACCTGTAGCCACACCCAAAAGTGATGTCACAGTGTCCAGGAGTCGTATTCAGAGGATCTGTTACCTGCAGTGCTCTGAAATCTGCTCGGGTGAAGTGTGTTTGTGCACACACACATTATTTTCAGTGGCAGTGAGGAGAAAGTTTTAGCCTGAGGATGTTTTGTGAATACGGCTCCTGGACTTCACCTGGACATCACTGCAGCCAGGTGAGACGTTTCTCACGGGGTGTTCAGGTACCTTAGTTTTCCTGTGAGTTATGTTGAGACCACCACCACCTAATGAAACTGCCACAGCTAGCATAGCATAGCATAGCATAGAACAGCATGGGTGTGAGTACTGAAGCAGACTGTTGTTTTCCCCAGTGTGAGATGGCCTTCCCCAGAGTGAAGCCTGCACCTGATGAGACCGCTTTCAGTGAGTGTCTGCTGAAGAGAAACCAGGACCTGAGCCCCACCCCCGCAGAGCAGGTCAGTCCCAGACCTGCACCGACGCCGCACCGGTCTCTCATCACACTCTGTTCTTTACACTTGCTGACAGAAACCTTGTTTACTGCTCTCTTCCTGCCTTAGTCCTCCATCTTGTCCCTGGTCACGAAGATCAATAATGTCATTGACAACCTGATCGTCGCTCCTGGGAACTTTGAAGTGGTGAGTCAGTTACCATGGTACTGCACACTGTAAGTAGCATGATCAGTCAGCTCCCTGGTCGGATCATCATCAGTGTAATAAGTGGATCATTCAGTTTAAACGGTCACATCTGGTCACATCTGTCATTAACCCGGTTCATCGTGTCACCACATGACATTTGAACAGTGTTGTACCTGTGTCTCCTCATAGCAAATTGAAGAGGTGCGTCAGGTGGGCTCTTACAAGAAGGGTACCATGACAACAGGACACAATGTCGCTGACCTGGTTGTGATCCTGAAGATCCTCCCAACATGTGAGTCATCACCAGGAAGTGCCGTCACCTGTAACAGGCTGAATGAAAACTGCTGCTGCTTGTTATCACCCGAGTCTTTGAGATGTTTGTTGTGACCTCTGATGAACTGGCACAATTTGTATTTAATTTGGGAAACTACCTGTTTTCAGATCAGTAACATTAGAGAAGTGAGGACTAATAATCTGCTGCCACAGAAACAGGGTGGTTGTTGTTGTTGTTGTTCTCATTGAACTTATTCTGATGTGAGAAGTTTATTCACAGTGATGATTCTTCCTTTGACAGTGGAGGCAGTTGCTGCTCTGGGCAACAAAGTAGTGGAGACGCTTCGTACACAGGATCCAACTGAAGGTAACGTGTTCTCAGACGTGTTTAAGTTGAACAGTGGAGTGTAATTCCACTGTCAGACAGCAGCTGACTGTGTGTGTGTGTGTGTGTGTGTGTGTGTGTGTGTGTGTGTGTGTGTCGGTTTCAGTGCTGTCCATGTTGACCAATGAGACGGGCTTTGAGATCAGTTCAGCTGACGCCACTGTCAAGATCCTCATCACCACCGTCCCTCCCAACCTACGCAAGCTGGACCCAGAGCTGCACCGTAGGAACACACACACACACACACTCTACACAAGTTTTCTACTAAACATTTAAGGTTTTATTTCTCTGTAGCTGAGGGAGTTAGTTAAGGTCTAAGGTTAAGCAGTTTAACTGACCTTAAATATAAGACTAAGATAAGGAGAAATCCTTAAATACTTCAGTAAACATTTTAAGGAAACCTTAACTCAGACTTCTTAAATCTTAACTTAAGGTGTTTTGTGTGACCAGCCCCAGAAACTTTAATAAGTTTTCACAGCCCACAAATCTGATTCAGTCTTGACCAGATTTCCCTCATGGGAGTCCAGACATGTCGGCACCCGACCTCACTTGACCTCACCTGTTGTGACTGATCAAAGTGCGCAGAGGTTAAAAGGTTCAGCGCCTCAGTGAGTCACAGTCCAGAGAGCGGCTCAGGTGTGGAGGTTGGAGCTGGAGACACCGGGGTCATTTCATTTTTGTGTTTTCTTCAGTGGACATCAAGGTGCTGCAGAGCGCCCTCGCCGCCATCCGCCACGCCCGCTGGTTTGAGGAGAACGCCTCTCAGTCCACGTGAGGACGTCTTCTGTTTCCTGTCACCACAGCTGAGTCCTTCACTGACACCGGCACCAACACTCATCTGTCTTGTTGTTTGTTTTATGTCGTCTTCAGGGTCAAAGTGCTGATCCGCCTCTTGAAGGACCTGAGGCTGCGCTTCCCTGGTTTTGAACCCCTCACTCCCTGGATCCTGGACCTGCTGGTGAGTCCTGACATGAGACCAGAGTAAGGAACACAAGAGTGTGACCTCATGTTCTCCCTGGCCGGTGTTGTGGGTCAGTGAGCGGTGTGTGTTGTGTTTCAGGGACACTCTGCAGTGATGAACAACCCGTCCAGGCAGCCGCTGTCCCTGAACGTGGCCTACAGGTTGGTTCCCGCTCTCCTCAGGTCTCGTGCTGTTCAGTCTCCTCTGATGAGACTCTGTGTCTGAGCTTTGTGTTGGACTCTTGTTTTGAAGGCGCTGCCTGCAGATGCTGGCTGCTGGTCTCTTCCTGCCCGGCTCTGTGGGCATCACCGACCCCTGCGAGAGCGGGAACTTCAGAGTGCACACAGTCATGACTCTGGAGCAGCAGGTAGGTCTGGTCCTGGTCCTGGTCCTGGTCCTGGTCCTGTACTGCAGCTGGTTCAGGGAGCAGGTCTGAGTGTGTGCTAATGTTTGTGTGTCTGTGTAGGACATGGTGTGTTTCACAGCTCAGACGCTGGTCAGGGTGCTGTCCCACGGAGGCTACAGGAAGATCCTCGGCCTGGAGGGAGACGCCAGCTGTAAGATGATGTCATTGTTTTCATACATTAATAATAATAACTGTATTAATATAGAACTTTTCTTAACAAAGTTACAAAGTGCTTTACAAGAAAAGTAAAACTAGATAAAAGAAAAATCCAAAGTGAGCATCATAAAGTGTCAAATCAACATTTAAGGCTTTAAAAGTCAGTAATAACGTTTTTTTAAATCAATCCAAAATCTAACAGGAAGCCAGTGAAGGGAGGCGAGCACCAGAGTCATGTGACTGTACCTGTTAGTTCAGGTAATCAGACAAGCAGCATTATTTTGTACCAGCTGAAGACGGTGGAGCGAAGCCTGACTGACAGAATCAGTAAAAGCATGTACAGGTTTATGTAGATCAGTGATTGATAGAAATGAGACTGAACCACGTGTTTGAAGCATCAATTAGACATTTAGACATAAAGCAGCTGTCGGGGGATCAGGAGACATGTTTCTCCCAGGTGTCACACCTGTCGCTCTGACAGATCACCTGACGCACTGATAACACAACGTACACACAGGGAGTGACTCCTGTAATAATCTGTCGTTCCAGACCTGGCAACAGAGATGTCCACGTGGGACGGTGTGATCGTGACGCCCTCAGAGAAGGCCTACGAGAAACCTCCAGAGAGGAAGGAGGAGGAAGACGAAGCTCTGGAGGAGGGAGGAGATGGAGAGGATGAGAGCATGGAGACCCAGGAGTGATGATGATGAGGATGATGATGATGATGAGCTGAGGTTGGATCCTCAACCACCAACACACACACACACACGTTCAGCAACTCATATTTTACACCACTCCCAGTAGGGATGGTACTGAAACGGGTTCATGTTAATCGAGTGCATGTGAGGAAAATAAGCAACGTTAATATTGTTCATTTGTTTTTTTTCTCTTACAAAATGCAAAAGTCCCAATAAGAGAAGCATGAAAGCACCGGATTGATTAGTGGTATCGATAAAAGTAGTAGTACCATCCCCAACTCCGTGTGTGTGTGTGTGTTCGTTCTCTCCACAGTGGGTGCTGGTTGTTTTTGAAGAGGGTGTCCTGGACAGATCCCTGACGAGTCAGAAAAGGACTGGACTCAGTTTTATTGTCACGTTTTTACTTTCCCTTGTTCTGTTTGTATTTTGTCTTTGTTACATTTACAGTAAAGTTTTGGGTTTTTTTTTTTTAAATTTAACTGCTGTCGTTGTTTGTCAGAGGACACACACACACACACACACACACACACACACAGACACAGGCTGGTCGTCAGTATTTTATTGGAGTTGTTTTCAATATTAAATCAACTCATAAGTAAATTCAAACAGTATTAGGTCTTTATGATTTGGCTGTTTTTACATTGTTGTTGAACCTGTCTCCTCACGTAGCTTCGACAGTTAGCTTCATGATTTAGTCAAAGATGATCAGTGTGACATTTGACATGTTAAATGTGGGTGAAGCTAACAGTTAGCCTGCTCTGGGTTTGAGCTGCACGTCAGTTATTAGCAGCCTGTTCACTATAAAACACGGACAAGATCACGGAGCGGAGCATTGAGACCGGGTCAATCAACAGAAAGTGTTAATATCACACAGAGGGAGTGATGCACTGAATACGTTAACTACATGTATCACTCCGCTTTACAGGTTCTCTATTAACCGTCAATCATCATATTCAGAACATCACGACCTCAGTGTGATATTACTTTATACAACAGTTCCACGAGCGCCATGTTAGTTAAATTAGCAACAACAGATGATGTATGATTTTTTTATTTCATCATTTATTTGACTACACCAACAAATTGTTCCGCAACTGGACTGGTACTGAACATTTTCCTGACCTGCACAGTGACACTAGCTTAGACAGATATATACTTTATTTATCCCTTAGGGGAAATTCATTAGCTGCTTTTAGTGATTAATGGACCTTGGTCTGAAAAAGTTTGAGACACTGATGCTCTGTATCAAACCACACCTGTGGGAAGCGAACAGGTGTTTGTGACCTGACAGGGTGGAGGGTCAGAAGGTGAGGACTGGTTTTAGTTGGACCAGATCAGAGACACAGTTCTGAGGCAAAGTGACTTTATTCTGACTTTGCAGCAGACTGCTGATGTTGGGGAGAGTTTCAAGTGACCACTAAAACAATGGGTTACCATGACAACGGATGATGCGAGCGACTAATTCACTCAGGTATAAAATGACAGTGGAAAGGTAAGCAGGATCTAAAGAGGCTACACGCTCTGGACCAGCACCCTGCAGGGTGCAGTGGACCCGAGTCTCCCCATCTCACACACTATTATTTGGACATTTAGCTATTAGCTATTAGCACAGGATATGCTAACGACAGGAACACACGCAGTAAGAGCAGGTGGAAAAGACACAAAGGTTCCTCACAGTCACCCGTTTCCATGTCAACATAACAGTCATCATCTGCTTCCTGTCAACAGTCAGACTTCAGGTCTTTCAGTGGTCGCACACCGCAGTGGAGCTCACACCCTCACCCACGTCTGAGTGTCACAGGTGGTGCCGAGGCTGGGGGTTCAGCAGTGAGTGAAGCAGAGCAGAAGAAGGTCCTCAGGGGTCCGTATCCTCATGGAGGGACCCTGTCACTTATTTTGGGACAGGTCTGAAGGATCTGGATCCCCTGCTGCTGTCGCGGAGCGGTCAGTGTGTTAACCCTGTTAGATCGTGGTCTCTGGAAAGGGTGGGGGGGGTCACGGCTTGAGTTTGAGCCAGGGGTGGACCATGGTGAGGAGAGACAGGACTGAGGAGGCCAGGCCGCAGGCCCCAACGAAGCCCTGTCCTGTGGGGTAAATCTGCAGCCGGTCCAGAGGGATGAAGATGTCACAGCTGTTCTTCAGCAGGTCCAGGAGCAGCGGCGGGTTGCTGTACAGCACCGTCACCAGCAGGTGGAGCTGTCTGCGGAGCCACACCGCCATGACGGGCACGGCAGCACCGGCCGGAGTGGTTGGGGAGGACAGCTGGTCCTCGGGCAGGGCGGTGCCGGGGTAGGGGGAGGGCGGGGACTTGGCGGCTCTGTAGCGTGCTTCACTTTCCATGAGGAGGCGGAGCTCGTACACATCTCGAGTCAGGTTGAGGATCAGAGAGAAGAGGTAGTACCTGCAGAGTTCAGACACACAGGTGGATCAGGTGAGACACTCAGGTGAACATGTTCACTCTGACCAGCAGAACCAGCAGCTGCCCCCCCTGGACTCCCTCACCGGAGCTTCTACTCTTAGATTCAGATTCATCTTTTCTCCCTTATTATTTAACACATATATACATTTATTTCTATCAATTTTCACTTTGTGTAAATAAATGTACTTGTCTGCTAATTCATTTGTTTTTATTTCTTTATTTATTTTCTTTCACTTGTTCAAATCCGAGGACATTCCTCATACTGTCATAAGTTTTTATAAATGTTTATTATGGATGTGTATTAATATGATTTAGTGATTCTTTTCTTTTCTGAAAACGAGCTCTTTGGCTCAATGAAACATATTTGAAAATAAAAATAAAGAAACTAGGTCACTGTACTCTGAACCTAGAGCTCAGTGCCAGGTCACATGATGCTTCTCACCTGAAAGACCTCTGACTCCATTTGTGCTGGTCCAGTTTGGAGATAAGTCCAGTTTTTCCCGCCCACAGGACGTTGTCACAGGCGAAGTACATGGCTCTGTTGAGGTGGCTGATGGTCAGGCAGAGTCTCAGCACGCTGTCAGACAGGTGGATCGCCCTCTTGGCGGCCTCCAGCGCCTCCACTGAGTTTCCCAGACGCAGCACTACAGGACACACACACACAGGTCACACACCTCAGCTTTAGCATCGGGAGAACGAGTCAAAGTGGCGGCTTCACTCACACTTCCTGGTCAGGCTCAGGTGTGCTTCCAGCTGACGGACGGTTGGGAGGAGGTCAGCCGCCGCCCCGCCCCTCTGCAGCGTGTAGCCCAGCAGGGTGCAGGCGTACTGAGCCGCCCTGTGAGACAACAGAGAGTCATGAAGAGGAGGGAGACAGGTGGGAGACAGGTAGACAAACAAACACAGTACATCATCAGTGTCTCCGTCACAATAAACAATAAAAACAAAAAAGTGTCTCTCAGCTGTTTCTTCAGCTGAACCTGTTCACATCTGGAACCTGTTCACATCTGGAACCTGTTCACACCTGGAACCTGTTCACACCTGGAACCTGTTCACATCTGGAACCTGTTCACATCTGGAACTTGTTCACATCTAGAACCTGTTCACATGTAGAACCTGTTCACATCTGGAACTTGTTCACATCTGGAACCTGTTCACATCTGGAACCTGTTCACACCTGGAACCTGTTCACATCTGGAACTTGTTCACATCTGGAACCTGTTCACACCTGGAACCTGTTCACACCTGGAACCTGTTCACATCTGGAACCTGTTCACATCTGGAACTTGTTCACATCTAGAACCTGTTCACATCTAGAACCTGTTCACATCTGGAACTTGTTCACACCTGGAACCTGTTCACATCTGGAACCTGTTCACACCTGGAACCTGTTCACATCTGGAACACACAGGTCCACATCTAGAACTTGGAACCTGAACCACATCAGCTGTCAGTCTGTTTGTGGTTCCCTCTGATCCAGCCCAATGAGCCGCACCCGTACAAGTTCGGGTTCGAGGACTTGTTGCTATGACAACAAGCTTTCAAGAACCACTGTATCCAGACTGATGTTATCTCGAGTTACCCCCCCCCCCCCCCCGGTCTGAGACGAGCCGTTTCCGTGGTAACCCAGGTGCGACACGGGCCCTTCGCCGTCTGGGTGGTTCGGTTGAAGTGACGTGTAGTCCGGCTCAGACCCAGACCCACAGATCCGGTCTATGAGGTTACCTGATGATTCGCTCCTTGGCCTGGCTCTGGGCGTTAAATCGAACCCACGAGTCCATTCTGGCTCCTGGTTCTGTGACGGCTGCTCGGTCGCTGACGTTAACCAGCGGTTAACTAGCTGTTAACCTGTGTGCTAGCACTGGTTAGCAGCCCTGGAGCTAAGGTCGCTAAACTGGTTCTGAAGACACTTTTAATCCCACCACTGGTCCGCCATGTCCGGACAGGATATCCGCCTCCTCCCCCTCTTCTTCTGGGGTTAATGGCGGGTCACAAAGCGGCGTGACGGCTGCACGGCGCCCCCTGCTGTACGGAGTGTGAAGCTTCGTCTTCTCTTCGTTTTCCTTCTTCTTCTTCTTCTCCTTCTTGTGTGTTTTAATAACATAAAATTAGACGAACTAGGCCATATCAGCTTTATAGATTTAAGTAAAATTAACTAAAAAATCGTTGACTTAACATAAAAAAATCATGTCAACCTCAGAAGGGTTTTTTATGTCATTTTGACAGTCATGAACATTTATCGACTTAACAATAAACCTTGTCACAGATGGATTGGGGTTTACATTTATTATTCAGATATTTAACTCTTAACTTCTGAGATGTCCCTGTACTCCCTGTCAACCCTCTTCTTCTGTGGTATTTTTATTTGGTTTGTTTTGGGACTCAGTCTGGGCCCAGCAGTACAGGTGGTGACTGTACCTTGTGTTTTAGGCTGTGTCCGTCTTCTCTGTTCACCTCAGGACAGGTGTGTCTGTGTCTTTAATGCTGTCGTCCACCTTAGGGTGGATCTACGTCACATCAGTCCAGGGTCTTCGCTGCTGCCACAGGTGACGTCTCCTCTCAGGGGATCCTGTCTTCACGGTGTTAGGATGTAGAATGGTGTGTGTGTGTGTGTGTGTGTGTGTGTGTGTGTTTGTGTGACAGTGGCCTGTTACACAAATCAACTCTTACACTGATTAACTGTAGACTTCATGAGGAAAGCTTTTATTGATGAAGACGTATGACTTCACCTGATTAGTTCAATGTTTGTAGTTTCATAAGTTTGAGGTCACTTTGTGTGTGTGTGTGTGTGTGTGTGTGTGTGTGTGTGTGTGTGTGTGTGTGTGTGTTGAGATGGGTGGGTGTCTCTGACATGACATTACAAAGTCTGTATAAATATCACAATGCCATTAGTTGATTTTACTTTAATATCCAGTCAACATTACAAGAGCAGCACATCTTTACAATAAAATAACTACAAAATAAAAATAACAATATTCTAAAGTAGCCAAATTCAGTTCTTTACTACATAGTTTCATTATAGTTGAAGTGTCAGAATAAAGCTGTTGAATGTTGATGAGTGTGATGACGTGTTTCTGTTGTCTCTCATTAACAACAGAGTGGGATGATAAATGCATCATCAGTGGTTTTAGTGTGGGATGAAATCTGATCCAGAAATGTTTCACACTGAGACGTATAAAAATAAATAAATCAAATGTCGGGATATTTGATCCAAACCGGTTCTGAACGTTGTAGTTCCACAGGATGTCATTTTTCAACACACCCTCCACTCCTCATTGTGTAAGAGAAAGACTTGATCCAGGCCTCTGTGCAGCTGGGAGCCTGATTATTACAACTGAGGCTCTACCCACAATGCAACACTGTGTGATGGTAGGGACCTTTAAAGTCCAAGTGAGGACGTGTGAACTGAATCTACAACTATTGTAATGATCATTAACACTGTGATCACATGCAGCTGCTGTCAAAGAATCCGATTGGTCAGAAACTTCTGTCTTTGACTTTGTGGTGTATGACAGTTCAGTGTGTGTGTATGTGTGTGTGTGTGTGTGTGTGTGTGTGTGTGTGTGTGTGTGTGTGTGTGTGTGGGGTGGGGGGGTGCAGTGTGACCGATGTGCAGAGAATCGTGCAGTTTAGAGGAGGAGAGTGTAACCCAGGTTATTTTATGTAGCTACAATTTACCGATGTGCCCTAAACGCCTCACATTCCTCTGGTCCTCACTCAGTCACTGCAGCAGCAGCTCCAACAGGTGTTTGGACAAAAAATAGTTTGAAAAGAGTGAAATACAGTTCTGATGTAAGATTAAGGTCTTAATCTACCTGGGTGGGTCCAATTAATTAATTCCACTTATTGCTACTGTAATCTAGTCCCAGAATGTCTGTGAGTGAGTGAGTGAGTGAGTGAGTGAGTGAGTACCAAATGTGAGGAGGCCCTGAGACACGAGATCAGGTGCTCCGCAGCTCACAGGTAACACCAGCCTGGGACCAACTCCCTCACTTGAACCCCCCCCCTGACTCAAACTGTGACCTGATAAAATGAAGCTGGCGACACACAGGCTCTGACTGCGAAGCATCTCTGGACACATGGAGGTGACGTGATGAAGAGTGATCTGATTGTAGAGAGATCGGGATCATATGATGATGACGATGAGGATGATGAGGATGAATTTGCTAATTATCTGAGAAAGCCTACTCGAACACTTCCCTGAATACGGGCAGAGGGGAACAGATAAATGTGACATCTACTTGTGTCGTCCATGCGAAGGTTAAGATAGTGCCAAGCGTACTCATTCATATTTTACACTCACAAAGACTAAGGCGATAAACAACACTACTCAGGTAGGATGAGTCTGATGAGTCCAGATTCCTGAGGGAACCAGCTGAAAACCAAACCACAATGTGCAACATCAACGTCATGTGTAGAGAGACAGACTGTCTGTCTTCAGTCCAGTGTCGGCGCGTCTACTGTCCACAACAAAAGGCACGAATCACAAATATGCATATGTTAATGATCTTTGTAAAGCAGCTGAGTCAGACGATGGAGGTTTCCTGACAGAGTCACACTACATGTCTCAACCAGCACAGTCCGGGTTCAACCGTCTGACACTGAACGGGCCTTTTCTGGAGTGTAGGCAGTGCCACACTGTCCAGAGGAGTCCAGGAGTCCAGAGGAGTCCAGAAGAGTCGAGGAGTCCAGAAGAGTCAAGGAGTCCAGAAGAGTCCAGAGGAGTCCAGAAGAGTCCAGAAGAGTCGAGGAGTCCAGAGGAGTCCAGAGGAGTCCAGAAGAGTCGAGGAGTCCACAGACTTGCACTCAGTCAGCTGCGGCAGGTCATGTGACCTTTGTTTCTCTGACAGTTCATGAAGTGTGATTAAATAATCACAACATGAAATGTAATTTATCATTTAATCTTCTTTGATTCCATTTTTATTTTAATTTCAGTTTTTACTTTATTATTAACTAATTAATCTGTTCATTTGTCTAATTTAATCTAATTAAGAGGAAACAGCTTGAACCTTTAGCACCATGTAGGATGACTCCTACAGCAGCAGCTGCTCTGATGTCATCAGACTGAGCAGTAGCCTCCTCTACACAGCCTGGGGGAGGGGTGGGGGGTTCGGGGGGGTGCACTGTCATCCTGGCAATAAGCCTGCAGTGGAGGTAGTCACAGTCCCAGTCAACTGGATCTGTGTAAAAGGGAGAGACAGATGCTGACGCTGTGTTAGGTCAAGCCTCTGATTCCTGAACTCTGGGGGGGGGGGGGGGGCGCCATCAGTCTCCCCGGNGACTTCCTGGACACAACTCGCTCAGATCAACTGCTGGTTTCCTCACTGGTGAGACCAGAGGAAGGCACAGGTATCACATGCTCAGGTGGTCTGGTGTTTTTCACGTCCATCCTGCTGTACAACTGTCTGTGCACCTGACCTCTGACCTCTGACCTCAGCCTCTCTGCCTGGGGCTCAGGTGGGAAACTAAACTGTGACCGTGTAGTTATGAGGTATTCTGGCTTTGGTTACAGACAGGGTAGCACTGTCACAGAGAACAACAACACTACTTTAAAGCTAAATGTTTTTGGCTTTTTAGCCGTTTGGTAGAAAAATAAGAGTTTGAGCTGAGCGCCGTCAGAGCTGACAGTTTGATACAGTGAAGAGCAGCACAAGCACAGATGACTCACATAACACTGGTTCCTGAATCCACACATCAGTCCTGCTGAACCAGCAGGACTCAGTTTTCTGTCTGGAGAGTTGTCGACTCCTGGAGAACACGCTCATGTACGTGTGTGTGTGTGTGTGTGTGTGTGTGTGTGTGTGTGTGTGTGTGTGTGTGTGTGTGTGTGTGTAGTCCATGAGTGAATGTGCAGAACACTCCTAAAATAAATGTAGGGAAGTGGATTTCTGACACGCGTCCCTGCATTTGTATAGTGCAGACGAACTGGTCGGAGCATGGATGAAGCTCTCCAGAGTCCAGTCCAGAGTCCAGAATCCAGAGTCCAGAATCCAGAATCCAGAATCCGGTCTCTCTGAGTCCAGACTGGAGAGTAAAGCCTTAGAAATATCCCAGACATCAGCACTTCCTGTCTGCGTGGCTACAGACCTTTTGGTTTCAGTGTGGGTATGTGTGTGTGTGTGTGTGTGTGTGTGTGTGTGTGTGTGTGTGTGTGCGCACTGATTGTTACGAGCATCATATGTTGTTGTTTCTGTGTGTTTCTGATTGATTTACTTTATCATTTACATATTTGGCCTGAAGCAGAAACAAACGTGTGTGTGCACGTTCACAGAATCCAGATCACAATCTGAACGTGGTCTTGGTCTTCAGTTAGCAGGTCCTGGGTCTGCCAGTGGCATAGTGTGCAACACCTCATCCAGAAGCTGCAGGGCGCGGTGCAGGTGGACCTCCACCCAGCAGGGGGTGTGTTTGATGCTCTGCCGGGGGTAGTCCGGCCCCCAGCCCTTCACGAAGCTGAGCCGCAGGATGCACAGTCGCCTGAGGTCGTCCACGCCGATCCCGGCCGCCGCAGACAGACCTGAAATCACAGGTGACAGACCCACTGACAGCTGATCCACACAGACCACACATACATGTCTGACATGATCACATGATCACAGACACATTAGTTTGACCGGATTAATCTTAATGTTGGTTAGATCAGTTATTTTGTATGTAAGTATAAACAAGTATTAAGAATCATAAATTATATACATTTATATCGTCCGGTTATTCAGTCGCTCCGAAGGTTCACAGGCTTTTCTTGGACTGTTGCGGCTGAAAAACCTGATTTCACGGAAGCTTTCCTTAAAAAGTTGTGATGTTTTTAGAAGTTTTTTTCTCTGCTTTTGTCTAATTCATTAAAAATGTAAGGCAACTTGTTCCAGGTCAGTGCAGGTGGTGACCCAGTCTTCACAAATCTTATAGGGAAAAAGAAGAAGAGACTCTGCTCCTCTGTTGTGTCTGAATCACAGGTAGAGCTGATCTTTATAACTTCATGAATTTATCAATTTATAAGGGAGTGAGAGTGAAGGATGAATGAAAGGATGTTTTCTCTTTTCATCTTCAGTAATTTGTGCAGGGCCTGATACGATTGGTTCAACTCGCGAGAAACTGTGATGATTTTTGATCAAAGTTGCAGTGATTGGACAAAAATGCAAGGTCACGCAGACTTCACAGGGATTGGCTAAATTTGCGTTAATTATTGCGATTGCGACTCGTTAATAATGAAGTTTAATTACATTGGTTGTCATGGTTTCTATGATAATGCTAGTACACACTGTAATGCAGATGCTGCAGAGCTCTGTCTGTGACCGCTGATCACTGGCCTTTGTCAGAAAACACAGTGTGAGTTTGGACTTCTTCAGCTCTGAGCAGCATCTGCAGGTTTCCTCACAGTTTGTAGCCTGAGTGGCAACATCTGGAAACCACTGGCAACTGGATGTTGTGAGAGCTCAGTGTTGGTGAACGGGTCAAGAAGAGGATTTTGTATTTTAATGAAGTTTGAACAGTACTTACTGACTGCAGGAGCGATGCCTCCGACGCTGCCCGGACCAGGAATGTTTCCCGCCACAGCGGCGGCCTGTGCAGCAGCTGCAGCCTGAGCCGTCGCCGCCTGCTGCTGCATCTGTCTGTGGCACTGTCGCAGGTCAAACACCTGATCAACGCACAAACAGCTGGAATTACAACAGCTGGACAGGCAGCGTCACTCTTCACAACACAACAGTTCATACTTCAGTCTGTTACTGCAGCTAAAAAAAGAGCTAATTTCAAATGGAAGTTGGGCTCAACGCTGCCCCCTGGTGTTTGTGTGTGAGAGAGCGAGAGCTGGATCCAGACCTTGATGTAGGCTCCAGGGTAGATCTTGTGTACAGCGTCACCTGGAGCTCGGCCCGCCTCTCTGTCCAGGTAGTAGCTCTGTACAAACACAGCGTGGTCGCTCATGCAGCGCATCCACACGTCACCTTCACCACGACACTCCAGCTGCACACCTTTACCTATGTGTAACCTGAACACACAGGAGACATCAGGACAAGCACTTGGTCTATGGTCAAAAGTGAGAAACAAAAGATTTCACTTGGTTGTGTTTTGAAGAGAAACGTGTGCAGGTGTGGAGTGAAAGGTGACTGTCTTTTTTGAGAGGCCTCAGACCAGCTACAAGTAGGGATGGGTATCGTTAAGATTTTAACTGGACAGACCTTTGAGTCTGTCGTGCTGACACAGTCTCAGTCTTGTAGCTTTTGGAGTCTTACTGTTATTTTCTTATCCCCAGTATTTAGGGCACAGCGTCCTAACCGATAAGCAGTGATGCAGTAGAGAGGTGTTGTTGACTGTATAATGTATACGGATTAAATAAGGTGTTTCTCTTTACTACTTATACATAGAAATATCTATAAATCCATTATAGAGATACAGCAGAGGAGTGTCTGTCTCCATCCACTCACCTGGCTCTCTCACTGGCGTCTGTGCGGTGGACGTTACTGAGCTGGCCGAGGCAGAAGCGATCGCCTCCTGACGGGTCGACGTAGCCATCCACGGTCACCACGGGGCAGCTGGAGGGCACCTTGAACATCTCGCCCACCTGAACGTCCATTTCAAAGTAGGAGATCGAACACCAGAACTCTGGTCCTGCAGTGAAAACAGACGGTTAACAAAACTCTGCAGACGTGACGCGGCCTCCCTCAAACACAACAGCTGTACGTGTCATGTTTGCGGGCAACGTCTCTGTCCTCATGGTACATGGACATAAATAAGAGGACGAGATGCAGTAACAGAGGGTGACTGTGTGTTCCACTGGATTTACTGAAGTCACAGTTTTATCTGCCTCTGTGAACACAGTGCAGCTGGAAAACAAACTGAAAATAGAGCTGATTCTTAGAAAGATGGAGCAAATATCTGATAACTGTCGCCAAGATAAACAATCCATAAACTGTAAAAACACTGCAGGCTGTAACTGCACTCTCCTCTCTTTTATTACTGAAGTTCATTTGGCTGCATTTACCGCGTCCTCTGTTACAGGACTTTGTCCTGGTCGTGTTATCACATGAGCTCTTCCATTACAAATAATAAAGAAAACACAGAAGAACCAAAAGGAAGTTGTGGTTGCACATCTTCACTTCTTAGAGATAAATGTGTCAGATCAACTCTGACTGTGGAGGCAACATTTCCTCTGATGATACTGACAGAGAATCCGTGTGTTTGTGTCTCTGAGTTCCTGCAGATGACCAGGATGTAAATACTGACGCTCATGAACACATCTCTGAACTCAGATCAACAATTCCAGTTTAATTCAAGTCCAAGAACACTGGTTAAAACCAGTAGCACCAGTGTCAGTGTCTTGGTTACACACAGTCTCTAACCTGGATGATTGGACACAGAAGGAGGGAAAGAGGTGGAGCCATGATGCTGAGACCCTGAAAAGCACAGAGAGTGTAGATTAGTCCACGAGCTCAGCCTCTGGAGGGATGTGCATGTTTCCTGAGCATTTATGATTCATCAATACATTTTCCATATATGTATTAACACCACAGAGCCGTGAGGCACTGAAGTAAATACAATGTGAGAGACTTTCTAAACTGACAGACATCAACATTAGATCTTCAGGTTTTGAAGCGTGTCTTACAGTGGTGGTTTGGATGATGGAGGGGAGGTTGTTGGTGACCACGCCCATTCTGCTGGGGTCCAATGGGAGTGTAGGAGGCCGTGCTGCTGCCTGTCCAAACTGCTGTGTTACAGAAAAGTAAAGAACCATCAGTGTCCATCAAAAAAACTAACTATCTATCCATCCATCTATCTAATCTTTATTTTATTTTATTTTTGGTAATGAACATAGTTTCTCTGATTAATTTTATATATGTTCATTAACTCACTGTGTGTGAACTCACTGTGGAAGACAGCCTGGCTCTGAGAGTGTTTATTGCTGCTGTATCCGTTCTGTCCATGTGAGTGAGCAGGAGGTAGGGAGGGCTGCTGTGAGTGGGGGGGCTGTGAGGGTTGCTGGGCAGCCTGTTGCTGAGGTGGAGGTTGAGTTGGAGTCGGAGGTCGTGGAGCCGGGGTCATGACTTGAGCCTGTGGAGATGCAGTTTGGAGATGGCTGTCGCTGTGAGCGCCCTGCAGTGGCATCATGGAGGCGGAGCCAGACACTGGGAGGACAACAAGGGAACACATCAGATCTGCTCTATCTATCTAGATCAGATGTTACGTTATGTTACGTTACTGTACAATACTTTACGTAACATTATGTTACATTACGTAAAGTTCTGGAGCTGACCTTTGGGTGATACAGGCAGGTTAGTGTATCTGCTGACAGGTGGGGGTCCATGGGGCTCAGAGGACAGCTGTCGAGGAGGCAGGGGCTGGCCATAGTGGTCCGGAGGAGGCAGCTTCAGGGCCGCTTGGTGGTCAGATAGAGGCATGCCGGGGGGGAGGTCCATCTGTATACAATCATGGATGTATTCCTCTTTGATGAGGCCGCCTGGTGTTGCTGCAGGACACAGGAGGTCAGGTCAGAAATGTGAATATTGTCAGTCATTTACAAGCGCACACAGACTCTCAATGAAAACAGCAGAACATTTAGTTTGTATAAAATCACTCTCTCCCTCTCAACAAATCAAAATATGTATAAGTCTTCTAAATATATAGCAATTTTAAAAAGCTGTCAGTTGATCTCTGGATGTCATCACGTTACGTCACGTCACGTCACGTCACGTCACGTCACGTCACGTCACGTCACGTTACGTTATGTTGCGCTACGCTAGGTTACGTTACAATCCGTGAGATAAAATCTCATGGAAAGATAAATGAATAGACTCACTCATCTTCTAAAGTGACAACAAACTCAGTCAGATCAGAGGATCTGAATCAAACAGCCTCTCTAGTTCATCAAATATCATCCAACATCACCTACATAATGAAAAAGCTATTATTGATTATTTATAGTGAGGTCCATTAAGTCTAGCCATCAATAGTCTAGATTCACTGCCCATCCTGCATGTATTCATGTTTGTTCAGCAGGTTTTAAACTGTCCTTCCCACCATGCACTGCAGCCTTTTGTCACAATGTCAACTTTAAAGGTGCAATGTGTCAGATCTGGCCAGAATTTTAGATTAAAATGTTCAAAAAATGAACTAACACTGTCAACAGTGTGTGAAGGAGCCACAGTGACGATGTCATGACCCAGACCTCCATCTATTGTATTTCAGACATATCTACTGAAATTAGCATGCTAACCAGCTAGCCTCGACCTGTCCTGAGATGCGGTTTGATGCCAAGCTCACAACTTGTCTTTTAGACTGCTGAGTAACAACTTATGTCTCTGTAGCGAAAAGTATCAAAAGCATAATATCGAAGTATACTGAAAATATCAAAGACAATATTTATAGGTCAGATCACCCAGCCCCACTCTAAAGACTGTTGTGCTGAAATTATGTTGAGGTCCGTGAGTGTGTGTGTGTGTGTGTGTTATACATGTGTGAGAACATGACAGTCAACCTGACCCTGAGTGAGGTCATGATGTGGAGGACTCACCTGTGTTTTGAAGGCTGAGACCAACTGTGAGAGAGGACAGAGAGAACACATTAGAGAACTCAGAACATGAGGAATCACAGTTTGTAGAACTTCACTGAACGGTTGTTAAAGACGACCTACCGATGCCGGGAGACACAACCCTCTCGTAATGGTAGGGGTTGACACACACGTTGTCATACTTCAGGTCAAAGGCGTACTGGCAGAACTTGACGTGCTTGAGTTCGTTCTTGTGGAGGTCGGGCCAGCGCCACAGCCGTGCATAAATGACATGAGGAAAGCCTTTCCTGCCCGCCACCTGAGGAGAGAGCATAGGCTCATCACAACACCATCTGTCATGGTCACTGAGTCTAACCACACACTGACACCTGGTTTAGAGTCACCACCTTCTGGCTCCATGAGTGTTTTCAGGACTCCATGTGACTCCATGTGATTCCCTCCCCACACAAATCATTATTTATTAATGATTTTTATTCCTCCACGCCAGTGACAGTCAGAGCTGTAGCCATATTGTTTTCAGGTTGTCAGTATCTCTGAAACACCTTGACGGAGCGGTGCTGTCCGTGGTGCTGAGCTTTAGTCCCGTAGAGGACCAGACTTCAGCATCTGGCTCAACAGGCTCACGACAACAAACAGTGACAGTCTATCCGCCACTAAATTTCAGAACTTGATGTTTATAGAGCTTGATATCTCAAAATCATGTGATATGTACTCTTTGCTTTCCCGTGTCTGATTGACAACTTTCACACCAACCTGAACAGAGCCAACCAAACACACAAGTGTACCAGAATTCTCCAGGTTCCCCCGTAAACCCTGATCAGCACATTGACAGGGAGGGATTGAGAGACGTCAGTGGGAGGCTTCAGGGTTGTGTTTTTGTTGTGCTATCACCGTGTGTGTTCACAGGTTGGATATACCATGAAATAAAATGAACATATCTTATATAATATACAAATATTCTAATATATGAACTCCACAAACTGGCCCTGAGTCCTGGTCTGTAAAAAGACACTCGCGCAGATCAACCTGAGAGCAGTTTCAGATTCTAAAAATAGAATTAAACTGAAGGTAATGCACATAAAGTACAATCTGTGTATGTGAGGTCGACTGACCTGCAGCCTTCCGTCCAGTGTCCTCTGGATGGTCACACACTTGCTGGGATGGACGCCGTTGGTGGTGATGGCGGTGATGAGCGAGTCCAGCTCGTCCTTCTTCTCCTTCAGCTTCTTCACCAGGCTCTCGATGGCGCGCTTGGCGAAGCCCTCGTTCTCTCCGCCCTGCCGGTGGCACATGAGGCTGTGGACGATGCTGAGGCAGGCGTCGCTGCTGCTCGGAGGGTTCACCGACATGATGCTGCTGCCACGGGACACAAGATCAACTCAAGTCAATATCCACTGTGGCAAACTCATGCTGGCCCTGAACTCCCTGTGTCTGTATCATTATCATCATTATTATCATTATTGTTATTATTAGGGCCTGAGCTCTGAACGGCGCCTGTCCTGTGGTTAGAGCGTTTCAGACCACCAGCTGTTTTATTCTGGACACACTCACATTTAAAGATTTTACCTTCTCTGCAAGTGAGGAGATGAAAAAGAAAAAACTCTCGTGAACTTTTACTCTCAAGTTTTAAGACGTGAAGTCCTGAACATGCTCAGCAGGTTAGAAAAACGTGAACATCTATATTTCCATAACAACTGGACATCTTTCTCTACTGAGGAGGATGATGGCCTGAGACTGTAGTGTCAACTGTTCTCAGCATGTCCGTCCATACCTGTACCTATCTGGACCTTCCCCCTCCTGTATGTCACATTACTACTTTACCTTGATGTGAGCTGGCTGAGGGGCCTATAGGACCACACCAAGCTGTATTAAATAATGACTTATTATTATAGAAGCTCACAGCCAGACTGTCAACAGCCCTGTTCAAACCTGGCTGGGATCAGGGCTGTGGAGCCAGGACAGCTGCTGTACCCAGTCAGACCCAAGATCACTGTGGTGGTGTAAAAGGCACATTAGCATATTAGCCACCTTGCTATTATAATAATAATAATAATAATACATTTTATTTATTTATATATACAGTAATATATATATATATAATTTAAAAATATTAATATTTTTTAAAGCAATTTCTTTTAATTTGGTATTAAAAATATTTTTTAAAGCAATTTCTTTTAATTTGGTATTAAAAATAATTGTCTTTTTTTTTCTAAATTCAATGATTAAATGATTTCGTAATACCTGTTAAGTGTAATTTGTTTATTCGTTATTGAAAATTGTTGTCCTTGGTTTTTTTTCTAAATTTAATGATTAAATAATTATAATATTATATCATGTAATATTAATATTTGTTAAATATAATTTATTTTATTCAGTTTTAAAAATTCTTGTCACTGTTTTTTTTTGCAATTGTTTGATTGTGAACAAAGATTGATTGTGTTTGTTAATTTGAAGAATTATATAAATGTAAAAAACCGTCCTGCTGGTATTCATATAGAGAGGAAAGAAAAAAAATATGAATTTTAGTAAGGTAAGAGCCAACAGAAAAATAGATATTTCCAATAGGACTGTGAAATTCCAATAGAACCAAATATATTTCCTATAAATATCCTATATGATAATCAGAAATGTAGAAGAAAGGACTTATTGACAAGGGTTAGTTTTGGTCTTTTTTAAGGTATTACAGTCAATGAGAGGCAAAACACTTGGTATTGCTGTCTTGCTTACCTGGTATTAAGTTGGTCAGCCAATGAGTGACCAGAGAGTTCACTGGCATCGTGATGGCCCAGCTCTGAATCAGTCCCTGTTGACGGAGACCAGGAATTAGTGGATGCCAGTTTAGTGTGCAAATCCAACAGTGGTTAGAGTGGTGAGAGAAGAAGTACTCAGATCTTTTACTATGGTGCATGTTGTAATACTACAATAATACACATAACGAGCAAACGCTTGGTATTCAAAACCTTCAGTCCAGCAATCAAGTATTGTAGCAGTGGGGGACAGATCGTCTAGTCCTGCACGGCAGAGGCTGACCCGCTGACTCTAAGACCCTGGTACTGGTCCAGCTGAAAGACTGAAGTGATGAGCATCTTTCATTAGACACTCACTGCCTGGTCAACAACCAGATCTTTCAAACTTCACACCCTCAGAACAAAGACCTCCTGCCATAAATTAGTCGTCTCCAAGGCCTTATAGCATAATAATAGGGTGTAAGACATAATGTTACAAGGTGTATCTGGTATAATTCTATAAGGTGTATCTTACATAATGTTATAAGGTGTATCTAACATAATGTTATAGGGTATATAAAAACATAATTCTATAAGGTGTATCTGATATAATGTTATAAGGTGTATCCTACATAATGTTATAAGGTGTATCTGATGTAATGTTATAGGGTGTATCTGATATAATGTTATAAGGTGTATATAACATAATTTGAAATGGGAATACTTGAGTCCCCTTAAGGGAAGTTTGGGATTTGTGATATTGCGCTGTACAAATAAAATGTTGATTTTGATATTCCTACTTTAAACATGTACAGTACAGTCTGTGAATTAATGGATTAGCTGCTAGGCAACAGCCTAACATACATGTAACATACAAGCATCTCTGAAATTGCACATGTGAACAGTTCAATACTGAAATTTGCACAAACCACTTAATATACTGTACCTAGTAAGATGCCCTTCAACACAGCTGTTTATCATAGAGTCACGGAGCATGTGAGCAGCCTGTACACTGACAGTCACAGGTAACGTCCCCTCCCTAACACACAGACACACCTTCCGTCCACGTCTGTAACACGCTGCTCATCATACAGGCCCAGACCCGGAGGACACCACGCTTCAGATGAAAACTTCCATCAGTGTGGCAGGAAAACACAGCCACGTTGTCTGTTACCTGTGTCTGCCCGATACGACCTGCGCCAGGCCACAGTCACTTCACTGACATCCCATATCGGTTAACATGCGTCACGAAGTCCGCTGTCTCAGCATGTCCGAGCACCAGCTGACACAATGAACCCGCACATTTCTAATTTATCTGGCTGCTCCGAGTTGAACCGAGAGAGACCGGAGAGGAGGACACGGAGTACCCGGCCCGCAGCAACAGTGACGGGGAAAGAGTGAGACAGCAAGAAGAGCATAAAAACAACAATTCAACAAGCTAATGTGAGCGACTTCCCCTCTCTCCCTCTCTGCCTCTCCGGTCTTTGGTCCGGTCGTGACACCGGAGACAGCGGGAAACAGTAACGGTCGAGATGAGCGGCGGGTACTTACACATGAGCCGGAGCGGGGAGAGGAACTTGGACAGAAAGACGTGGGAGCTCCGCGAGCTCTCTCCGTGTTGACCGGAGCTGCTGTTTGTTTGTAGCCCTTTGTATGAGCTTGTGTGTCGGCGTACACACGGCCGCTGGGTCCGGCTCTCCCCGGACAGAACCAGCTACTGTTTATTTCGCAGATGTGTCGCTGCGCCAGTTCGAGTGTCTCTCTGTTGTTTTATCCTTCTAACGGCCCCAGTGTCTCCTCGTGCATCCTGCCCGTTCCTCACGCGCACGCCACAATAACAATAGAGGGGAGACGTCGTGCGCGTCGGCGTCTCGACATGCTGCAGCCAATGGGCGCTCAGCTCTCACGGGGACTGCCGCCCTCGGCCAATCGCGAAGCGGTTCTCACAGCAGGGCCGCGAGCCAGGGTCTGTCTGGTTCGCCTAGATTGACAGGTCCGCGAGACTGTTTTTTTAAGGTGGCGCCGCTGAGATTAGCGCCCCCCCCAACACACACACACACACACACACACACACACACACACACAGGTCCTTGTTTTACTATATTCGTGGGGACATTATGACATAATGCATTCTCTAGCCCGTCGCTCTAACCTTAACCATAAAACCATCACAACAGGGTGACAAACTCCAACCCTCAACCTGACCTCAACCTACTAAAACTGAGTCTTACCTTAAAACCTAGCACCAGGTGTTAACCATCAAACAGCCATCTATTCTTGTGGGGTCCAGCAGTTTGGACTTTGGAATAAGACATTATGAAATAATCATGAATTAATACAGACAATATATGTAATAAAACAAGGAATTGTGAAAGGATTTAATTGAAAATAAACTCATATCAGAAATATGAAATGTTATTTATCCTGCTTCTTCTTTTTTATTTAAATGAGCAGTTTGAACCCCATAAGTTTAGTAAAAGAAGCCTGACACACACACACACACACACACACACACACGCACGCACGCACGCACGCACGCACGCACACACACGAGCTGTAACAGTTGTTTGAGCAACACTCTGCTCTCCTGAGGTCATGGTCAGCCTGTTACAGCCTCAGATTGACACTCATCCTCCACATGTTCTACTTTAATCAAACAAGATAGATTAATCTCAGACAGAATAAAATAAGACGTTTTGCATCCCTCCCCTTTCAGCTAAAGATTTTTGAAGGTATCACTCACAACAGCCAGAGGGTAGCTCTTTATTCCACAGGTCCATTATTTCCTAATTATTTTCTAATAACTTCTTAAATGTGTCCTGGAAATAACTACGTCATCTGGTAATACTAGAGAGAGCGCTCCATTGGTAAACCTCCAATTAACAGTTACACATGACAACTTTAAAGTGTTTCGGTCTGTTCACAGCAGATCTGAACATGGAAAACTGATCTGTCTATGGGCAAGTACATTATTCAACATGGAGAATTTACTGTCCAATAATAAATAAACAAGGAATATTTAATTGGGTTTAAATGAAGCACTTCTTTTGACTAAACTCACACAACAAAGAACTTGCTTTCCCTAAAATTAATCCAAAATTACTAAAACTCAAAAAGTGATTAGGAAATGTATTAGGTAACACTGCAAACGTAAAATCAATGGATACCGGCCAGATGGCCATGAAATTTACTGAGCACATTCATGCTCCATTTGGGACGACCAGTTTCTATTTCAATGATCCTACAGCCTTTTCCTCTAGCGCCACCCTCTGACCTCCGTTGCTTGTAAGGTGCCAAGAAAAAGTAAATCATCACTGTTTTGCATTCTGTCCAACTACCGAAGAGGATTAGGGCCAAATGTGAAAATTTAGTTTAAGAATTCTCCTTTTAATCTCACAATGCCGAGAAAAAACTCAAAATTCAAAAAAAAAAAAAAAAAAAAAAAGTCTGAATTCTATGAAAAACTTTTTTTTTTTCACATGTGGCCCTAATCCTCTTCCGTAGTCCAACACCTTCATATTGTCAGGTGCAATAAACATTACAAGCGTTGCCTTATTTTAATCAGTATGTTGACATATGAGCAACGTAAAAAAAAAATGAGAATGTAACATTAACGTATACTTTATGAACACTCATAATGAAGCAATCAATATCATACAAAAAATCACAAGCATTACATTGTATAATCATGGAGACAACATCCTATAGTTTCATCCTCATCATCTACCATCTTGATTTGCTGTGACACAGCACTAACATTCATTCACTTGACCAGAAGAAACAAACTGAAATAAATGTGGATTTAGTGGCTACATGTGTGTAATTTATGCACTGTGTGATACTGTAACTGACTCTTGAATTCTCTCAGAGGATTAAAGAATTACCTGTTTGCCTAATGCTAAGCAGATAGTAGCCTGGATTTTATTATGATGCCATCAGACAAAGCAGAGCAGGACATCAGCATGTGATTAGACAAGTAAATGTCAAAAGGAAGACGAGACCTCCTCATGTTACAGTTTCCTGTATTGACGTGTCCCTCCTGGTCAAGACAGTTCACAGTATTAGCTGTGCAGAGCAGGAGGAGGAGGGTCAGGGTTTACTGGGGGAGCGGGACGTGAACACTCCTGAAGCCTCCAGCATGGTCTTTCTTCGTGCTGTCTCTTTGGCCACATTGTGGTTGAGTCGCCTCAGACGTTCCTGGGGACAGAAGCTTCAGATTATGTTGCTGTTTGTATATTGTTTTACTGTTTGGCTTTAGTTCCATGTCCCGTTTTTAAACTGGACCGGTTGGTAATTGTGCTGGTGATATTAGTGCTCTGGTAATGTGGTAGTGGTAGTAAAGCTAATACAGCAGTAATATTAACAGCAGAGGTGTTGGTTATAATAGAAGATGTTATAGTAGTAGCAGTTTAGTACTACAGGTTGCAGTAGTGACCTCACTGGGAGCAGTATTAGTGGCTGTATTATACCACTAACTGTGCAGAATATCAAAAGTTTAAAATTAACAGATTTTTTAGTGGGCAGCAGGTCAGGTGAATCTCTCTTTTAGCTCTGTGTTTGGTCTCCACCAGCTCCTGAGGGAAATGTCTGGCTCTTTAGCTGTTAAAAGCTCCACTGTGTTCACCAGCGGCTCTCTGACTGTCTGTCTGCTGAGTTTGGACACCAGAAAACCAAAGCAGAGCTGGAGTGAACGGCAGAATGGTGATAGTTCTGTGTGTTTGTCACTACAGGCGACACCTTTCATATCACACACGCTCATTGTTAAAATATTGATAATGCAGCTTTAGGAAAGAAGTCTGGAAAGAAGTCCCACACAAAAAGCTGGCCACTGACCTGAGCATTCTGCAGTATGTTGTTTACTAGCACTACTCTACGTCTTGCATTCAGCAGCTTCTTTACATAAGGGTCCAGGTCTAGAGCCACCTTCTGATGTTCATTTATCCTGCATAACTCTGCAAAGACACAAAAGACCAATCCACTGGTTAGCAAGCATATGTTATTTAATGTACTTCAGAAATGTGTTTTTAAAAAGCTAATGCTGTCTTTAAGATAAAAAAAGGTAAACAAAACACCTGCGTCAGGGATTTAACAGACATTATACAGTGAATTACCTGTGGCCAGGCTGTCTATATGTTCTCTTAACTCTACTTGGCTTTCTCTGCAAGGAATAAAATAGTCACATTAGTTCAAGAGGAAAGACAGATGATACAACATGAAGAATATATCACTTCAAGTGCACAAACAGGTAGTCTCCCTGAATTAAAGAACATCAAACATTCATCAAAATGACAAAGGAAGTCTGTCAGGTTAAAACTAAGACCACACAGCAGCTGACAATGAAACATGTGACATCATCATCATCAATGCTTCAACCAGAGCAACTGGTGGAAGCTGTGGTAGAGCTGGATGATCAAACAGTTACAGCGATGTTACTGACATGAATCAGTAACATCAGCTACATCAGTAACAAAATCAGATATCTACAATCCAATTTCAGACATCCAATATTGAATATGCAAAATACACAATGACTAGTAAATATGTTACAGATATCCACAATTGTCATTATGACTATTAAAATGCAATTTCAGATATCTACAATTATGACTAGAAACAATGCAATTGCAGGTAATGTGGATGTGTTGACAGGTAGGATGCTGTTTTAACAGGAAAAGATTTCACTTACTATTCACAACTATGCTTTTTAAGAATTTAAAGATAACTTTAAAGGTACTTTGACAAGGAGAAATATATTCTTAGATATATGGAAATACAATTTAGACTAGTAAGAATGTGATTGTGCGTGTGTGGTGCTAGGAGAAATGATATCAATGATATCTAAAATAAAACACGGGGATCAATGACTCCTTTCTATGTTAAAACGGCGTCCTATCTACTCGTCCACAGATATCAATACATTTGTGTATCTGCAGTGGCAATGTTTCTAGTCATGATGATAAGTGTATATATCCGAAACGGCATTTTACTAGTTTCTATGTATTCAACATGTTTGTATATTTAAAATTACATTATGTACATCTGGAATGCTTTTTCAAGTGGATGGTTATAAGAACAACAATGGTCCATCAGTTCCAGCTCTAACCAGCACCGGTCACGAGACCGTTCCAGAGGCAGTGAGCGAGCTCAGACCAGGAAGAAACCTCGTCCATGAAGGATTTACCTGACTGAGTGCACGTGCAGGTCCAGCTGCTGGATAGCGGGTTTCAGGAGGTCGAGCAGCCCCTCAGCGATAGCATCTTTACCTGAAGAAGCCTCCACTACAGCTGCCGCGGCCATTTTAGTGAAGCGTCGCCGTCGCCAGACAGGAAGTTACGTCACGGTGACGGTGGAGTCATAAGACCCTCTCCATTTTCTTCCCGAGGATCTTCAGGGCGGACGGCAGCACCATTTTAGGGAGACGCGTCTCAAACCCCGTCTCCGGCGTTTTAGCTTTATTGTGACCGCGGCTGCTCAGATAGGAAGCTAGTTCAGCTTTTCCTCACAGTTTCAGTTTAAACAGAACAGTATCAAAAACCCGCGCGCCATCACCGCGCTGCTGCTGCTACAGTTGCTAAAGCTGCTAAAGCTAACATTAGCCGGCTGTGAGGCTTTTCTCTCCACCGACGCGACATTCACTGTAAGTAAAATTCATTAAACGTTTAAATTCCAGTAGAATCTCTTAAACAAGTAAACACACATGTTTACTAATGCAGCTAATATTGAGGTTTATTTAAAGTACGGTGGCCCAGCTTACTTGTTAGTGTAGCCGTTTTGTCGGGACCAGGAATGAGGACGCTGGTTTGAAAAGGGTCGGCTGTGTTTGACCCCAAACCGTGTCTCTGAAGGAAGGTGTCATTCTTCCCCGGGTTCGCTGTCGTCTTGGTGGATTGAATCCTGTGTATTGTGAGTCCTTCACCGAGACACTAACACGGCCTCATCCACAGAGGAGCTAATGGACGTGTTAGTGTTGGGTTGAAAACAGAGCTACCTGTTCTCGCTGCCACACGGCACGGGAGGGGAAACACCTGTGCTGTCTGTCCAGTCCCCGCTGCATATGGTAGTCTCTGTTGATATGTGGCCAGACAGCTGCTGGACGCCTCCACACCGTCCCCGAGGCCTTATTGTTGGTTACTGAACAGACGCCACCATCTTAAGATTAGCTGAACATTACCTCTGCTCCACTGGAGGAGTTGGTCAGTGTGTTTTTGATGAATAAAATTCAAGTTTAATTCAAGCTGCCACAAGAAATGGATGAGGATGTTTAAGCCAACCAATTAGCGTTGGCTTTATACAAGCCTTGGTCAGGGAGTTAAATTAAATCACCGACATAGAGAAAGAACAGTAAACTACGTCGTACAGTATTTGTAAGACTACTTATTTTTAACCCAGCAGTTGTTGTGCTTGTAGCACATGTACCTTATCAAGGCAAATTAGATTTATTGTTCAGCATAACTAAAGCTCTAAGATCTGTAATCAGCTTTTCTTGTCTGAGAAGGAGATGATCAGCAGAAGATGATTAAATTTGTATCTGACACATTAAATTAACAGGAAGCTAACTTACTGTACAACTAATTGATCCTAATACTCCAGGCCCTCATTCAGAACTGTAAAATTGATTAGTTTTAAGTTTAATCTCCTCACCTGCTGCACCTGAGGCTATGTCCACACTACCACGTTTTCATTTGAAATCAGTCTTCGTCCAGACTAACACACCTGAAAACGCATACACCACATACATGAGCCATCATGTACACGGGGCATGCATGAGCCGGTGTAAACAGGAAGCCGATTGTCTTCTCTGCAGTTGATTAGTTGCAAAAAATGCTACGAATGAGGAACAGCAAAGACAGCTGCAGTGTCAAAATGTAGAATTTAACTGAACAAAAGCTGCTAGCAAAGACAACAAGGTCAGTAACGTTTGTAATTCATTATCCATGTTGTCTTCACTGGCAGTTGAGGCTGATAACACCCAATCAGGGAGCAGCCGTAGGTGTCTACGTTGTCATTTCCTTACGTCTCCATTCTCGTCCATTCAGACGCAACCCCAGAGTTTAACTAAAACAGGTCCTGCAGTGTTTCCAAAAGGCTCAGTTTTCAGGACTCGAACTCTGGAGAGGAGTGGACGGGAGGAGGAAACATGGCAAAAGAGATGCATGTTAAAACAAAAACACAGTAGTGTGTACATAGCCTGGAACAAGCTGTCTGCACAAAACCCTATGAGAACATCAGTGCTGAGCTTAGAATAAGTAATACACAGTGAAAATAGCTCTGCGTCATATACTCAGTGTAACGTAGAGTCAAACGTCCACTCTGACACTGTTCATTGCTGCAGTCTGTTTTGCTCTCTTCTCATGACAACCAATTGACCTTGTCTGGTTTTCTGTCCCATCTTTTTCCAGGAGCCTGAAAGCGAAGTCTGTCAAAATGAGTGCAGCCTCCTCCCAAAAGGTTGTCCTGAAAAGCACCACCAAAGTGTCCCTAAATGAGCGGTGAGGCGCCACGCACCCTGTCAGCAGTTAGACACCAGATGCAAGGGCCAGCCTTGGCCTGTGAAGGTTCTAGTGCTCTCTACGGAAGGCTACTGTTGGGGACCGGACCCGACATGGATGCTATTCTGACTGTCCTCGGTGTGTGCACTGCTCACTCAACATTTGTTGACGCTCCAGCAGAGTTAAATGTGATTGTAACATGGAGCGGAGGGGGGCTTTCCTGAGTCGTCTATCTTGTGTAAGCAGTGCACACATGTAGACAAGGGGAGAGGGTAGTGGTCGTACTTGGTAAACCTTGTTAAGCCTATGCTAGACCAGACCACTGTCCTACAAAGGCCCTGGCACACCTGCTCCCTTTTAATTACACAGCACAGTATACATGAAGTATACGCCTTTTAAAGGGGAGAGGAAGGCTTCAGCTACACCAGGGAGACGGGGCACCTCTTAATCCTTTCTGCCTCTCTCACACTTTTCTCTCTCAAGAGAAGCACATGCTCCTTTTTTCCTCCTGTTCTATCGCTGTCTCTCTCCTTTCTGCTCCAAGTCTATAAGACACCGGGTACTCAGTCCTAGCTTGGACGTGACAAAGAGCTCCCCTTCCCCCTCCCACCTCTCCTTCCCCGCTCTGAGTCTCAATGGTTTGAGCATAAGTCACGGTCCATGCTGTAAGTGGCTGGGTGGCCAAGCACTCCTCATGTCCGGGGCCTCTGCTGCTGCAGCATGACGACACCCCCGCCAGTCAGCTGGAGGCCTGTAAGTGGCAAATTGTGCTCCTCTTCTGGCACCTTCTCTCTGCTCCTCTTTCTCCGCTCTGTGTTTTCACTCTGGAGTTATTTTCTTTATCTCAGTTTGCCTGTCTTCTTGTGCTCGTTTGAAAACACATGCTAAATTCAAGTGTGAATAATTCTGGATTGTCATTTGATTGAGAGAGAAAGTGAGTGCCAACAAGTGGAACATGAGTCTTACATGGCAAAAAGAAACACCAGAGTCTGTGTGGCCGCATCCATAACATGAGAAATGACTTGATGTGGAACCCTGCTTCCTCCTCCTCCTCTGTATATCCCCTGTCCCCTTCTTTTACTTCCTCCCTCTTTTTCCCTCCCACCTCTAAAGCTTCACTAACATGCTGAAGAACAAGCAGCCCACTGCAGTAAGCATTCGAGCCACCATGCAACAGCAGCATTTGGCCAGTGCCCGCAATCGCCGGCTGGCCCAGCAGATGGAGAACCGGCCCTCAGTGCAAGCCGCTCTGAATCACAAGCAGGTGAGGCCAGAGATCAAACCAGCGAGTCAGTGGACCTTTTGTGATATGTGAAGCCTACTGAAGTAAGAAAAGGTGTGTACTGCGTCATACTGTGAAAAAGTTTCATTATCCAGCGAGCACCCAGCTTTTAGCCTCCTTTAGCTCATTGTTTTACAACTTATAGATTCAAATGTTCACAGCAGCTCCTGTCAGCCCTCTGTCGGCAGGCAGCACACAGTCCCAGAGGAGGGTGAACTTAGTTCAACATCTAGCAGCTAAAGACCAGATGTTTTTCTTAGTCAGTCAAAACAATTGCAATTTCCATGACATCTGGGACACGGAGGAGTCAGATCAGATGATTTACATAATTCAGCTCAGTGATATCTGTTATACAACTGTAGTCACGAGCTGAGGACGTAACATCTCACGTTGATGTGAACAGGTAGCATTGAAGTGCCCTTTAATATTGAATGTAAATTTATTAATAGGTTTCTCCTGGTTGTGAAAGCAGGATGTGCTAACCTGTTAGCATCTTAATACTCAGGAATATGGTAGTCTCTCTGTATTTTTCTTTTTTGCCTCCTAGCAACTAAAAATTGACGAATGAAAATTTAAACCAGAAGTGTTTGACATCTCCTGCCATGAAAAATTAAAAAATTAAAAATCCCCAACGTCAGAAGTAGTGAGTCTGCTTAGTGACTGTTTGGTTTACAATTCAGGTGAAATTACAAGTTAGTTGTCATTAAATTGACTTAATGTCTTTACCCTGTGGCTGAAACACGTCTGCCTCGAGAGGTGTTGCGTTCCAACTGTAATATCGTCAGATCGTGAGGATTTGTTGTTGGACGCTGAGCAGGAGGCAGCGGTACGATCCAGGAAGTAACAGACTGATGTGTGTAAAGACTCATCAGACTCTTAAGGCCCAGTTCCAACCCGGTCCCTACACCCTCCCACTCAGAGACGGAGTGTAACTGTGGAGGGTCTCCTCATTAACGAGGATGGTATAAATACACAGGGAAGCTTTGGCCCTGAACTTTCACTGGTGGAAACACAAAATTCATTGTTACCCAAATATTTCTGAAAGATATTGTAATTAAATCAATATTTATCAAACAATAAGCTTATACATAGCACTGACAAATATGCAGGAGTGGCATAGTGAGCTTGAGGAAGGAAAATGATTAATTGAATAATAGAAATTCACTCCCATGCTTCTTTGGCCGCATTTTGTTTTTGCTGAACATGTTTGTCGTCTTAATCTAATTATCACCTTATTTTTTCCACTGCTTAATTTTCAAATATCAAGTCAAATAAAAAATTTCGTTGTGTGTGGAAAAAGTCAAATGTCTTTTTGAGGTCATTACACCAAACTCAGATTTGTAGGTTTGTGGCATTTCATCCATCCCGGGCTCAAAGCGATGCTGCGCTCGTCTGGGAGTGCGGTCTGTAAACCTGCATCAAGTGTGTAGGGGCCGGATTTGAATTGGGCTTAACACCCACAGACAGGACTACAACTCAGTTTTATCTTCGCTCATGGAGAAGGAGTTGGTTTACAAAGTCATCTACCAGGAACGTGCTCTTGTAGGCGTGTGATTGGTCAACGCAGTGAGTCTCTGACCACCACCTGTAGGATGACTTTTCTTCAGTATTGCCCACCTGGTTAGCCTGACTTAACTTTGTCCTAACTGCATCTGAATAACTTGCTTAAGAGCCTGAAGCAGCGCCTGGGGAAGAGCAACATCCAGGCCAGGCTGGGCCGGCCCGTCGCGGCTCTGATGCGTGGAGGAGCTGCTGGAGGCAGAGGAGGAATGCGGGGGATGACCAGGGGAGGCCTCCGAGGACGAGCCAGAGGAGGAGTAATGAGGGGAGCTCTCTCCCTGAGAGGTGTTTATCCACAGTCTCACATAGTATCTCACCCGTGAATATGTCTCTTATTCCAGCTGTGTGCTCCTGCTGCAGCCAGCTCCACATTCATGGCTCTAGATTTCTCTTCCTGTTTCATCTTTGTCCTGGGTTTTGCACCAGGTGATGATATGACTGTGTTTCATAGGGAAGCGAGTGTTGACAGGTGCCCCCATGCGAGGCCGTGGCTCTGCTGGCCGTCTGGCGATGCGTAGAGGAGGTCGCCACCGCGGAGGAGCTGCTGGCAGAGGAGGGGCCCTGTCCCGAGGAGCAGCAAGAGGAGGAGTGGCCCGAGGTCAGAGGCTGGCAGTGTCTTCTCTATTTATGTCCAAAATGATTGTACTGTTCACTTGAAGTTTTAGTAAGTCAGGAAAATGGACCGCCTCAAATCCGCTGAGTTGTCGACTGTTGGTCAGTGCTGTCCAGTCACCATTGCTGTGTGTGTGTTGGTGGACAGGCCGTGGTGGACTGCGGGGGCGCGGTGGTTTCGCCGGTCGAGGTGGTCGCGGTCGCGGGCGGGGTCGAGGTGTCGGCAGACCAGCTGTGACCCGTGAACAACTGGACAACCAGCTGGACGCTTACATGTCAAAGACCAAAGGTCACTTGGATGCTGAACTGGACGCCTACATGGCCCAGGCTGACCCAGACAGTATGGAGTGACCCTGAAGGACTCTGAACCTGAAGCACACGCAGAGTCACTGCAGAACTGTACGGCTGAACTCACACATACAGTCTAGTGTTGATGTACTGAGAAATGATTATGTTCAAATAGTAGATGAGTGGTGACGGTCCAGCACTCATCCGGAAATCAAGTTGTCATCTGAATGTGCTTTGGCCACCGGTCAATTCTGCATCAACCTGCTCCTCCAAAACTTTCATTCTGGATTAACTGTGCAAAAGGGACCTTTTTTAAACATTAACAAGCCCTGCTGACTATACACGTCTGTGGTTTTTGTTTGTGTTTTTTTTGTTTTTTTTAAATACATGTACATGTCCTGAAACACTTTTTTTAAAGGTTTTAAAACATATGTGTAATGGCTTAATCCCGGTCAAAGATCTAGGTGATGTTGTGTTAACCTTCTGTTGAAACCAATTTTGAATTACACAATTTTTTTTTTTTTTTTTTTTTTTTAACTTTTTATGTATAATTTAATTTTAGCGTTGGTGTGTTCAGACCTTTAGGGATTCATTATTGGCTTATCTTCAAAAGATCTGCAATGCAAACCTTTTCTAAATTATTTGTTGAAGAAGAATGTAAGCAAAATGTCTTTAAGCCAAGTATCCATTTGTCTTTGTTTTCTATTTGAAAGTAGTATTCTGAAGTCTTTTGTTCCTGCGTATCTTCCACCTGCCAGCGTTCTCGAATGGATTGTTGGCACTGAATTTGTACTTGAGCGCGTTTGTATGACATCACCCAAAGCAAGTAAAATAGGTTTTGATTAAAATGGAAATGGTGATTTCCCTAATTGTGTCAACTGTATGAATATTAAAGGAGTAAAATGTTGACCTCAGATCAAATGTAGTGAGTTGAACTGTTGTTTATCTCAGAGTGAATAATTAAATTAGACAGTAGAGACTAGATCTTGTGATGGGAAACTCCAAGTGCAACGCCTGGTGTAATGTTGATGTTCAGACCATCAGTACTCAGCCATTACTACAGTTTTACATAAGTAGTCATAACCACATTATTACATCAATACTCAGTATTTAGTGCTACATTTTTACATCAGTACTCAGTAATTATCACAACATTATTACATCAATACTCATCAATACATATTTAGTGCTACATTTTTACACAGTACTTAATAGTCACGGATCAGTGACAGGCTCACACTTCATCCTTCCTCAGTGGATGTGGAAAGACCATAAGTTCAGTTTAAGGTGATTACCAACCTTATAGACCCAATAAAATGAACCAATGTCTACTTGTGTCCCAGCATCATCAGTCACATGTATGATGAAGACCAGTGATTTTTGTTTCTCTCTCTCTCTCTCTCTCTCTCTCTCTCTCTCGCTCTCTCTCTCTCGCTCTCTCTCTGAGGCAGATGGCCCCCGGTCCGGTTCTGCTCGGGGTTTCTGCTTCTTAAAAGGAAGTCTTTTCTTGCCACTGTCGCCCAGTGCTGCTCTTGGTGGGAATTGTTGGGTCTCTGTAAATATTATTATAAAGAGAAGGTCTTAGACCTGCTCGGGGAAAGTGCCTTGAGATAATGTATGTTGTGAATTGGCGCTATACAAATAAAAATTGACTTGACTTCTGACCCAAGTCAGGAAGTGTCACCTTCAAAGACCAGAGGAGCAGTCCTGCGGATGTTACTGTGACTGACTTGGTTTGTGCTCATTTTATTAATTTGTTAATCAATATGCGCCAATCAACACGACACAAGCTGACATGATCAGGTTCTTAGGGTCGGTGCTGCTTTTCGGTGTGTCAATGTCTTTGCTGTTTGAGCTGATACTGAACTAAAGTGGTGAACATCGTTCAACTTAAAAAGACCCTGGTGTTTACGTCGGAACGATCCTCTATAATAAAGTAAGTCTAGATCTTACTCTGTAAAGTGCCGTGATATAAAGTATATTATGATTTGGCGCTATACAAATACAATTCAATAGAATTGCAAATTTTGCTTTTAGGATTTCCGAATTTCTTTTAACGCAGCACCGGTTACCATAAAGCGGTTTCAACTGACGTAACAAATCCTATAAATATTTTTGTGACACGCCTGCAGCCTCTCTCTCCAGTCCTCGGTAGACGGGACACAAGGAAGGACTCGCGGGGTGCAGGTAAGCGTAAATAACGGACTTATTAAACGGACTTTCAAAGACATGACATGGAACATAGAGGCTAACTACACACGCAGCCGCCGTGGATAGGTACGCGAGGTTTTCTTGGACTTCGTCGTCTCATTGAGAGCACCACGTTGTCCTCAGTTAGCATAGCTGCACCTAGTTGTAGGTTAGCTCGATGCTAACGTGGATATCGGCTAACATGACCACGCTAGGCGTCCCTTTCCCCGCGACTTATTCCCGCTTCTTTCTGGGGGTCGGCGGTGACTGCTCCTGTCACAAAATTCACAATTTTAAAGGTAAAGTCGCACAATGGTCTTTCCTGACCACGTTTGAAGTGGACCTTATTAAACCGTTAGGAGAGCATAAAACAACGTAAGATATCGCCCTGTGTTGCCACAAGTCGGCGCTCATAAAATTCAAAATGGCCGACTTTGTCAGGTTTAGCTCCGGGAAGGATTTTTTTTGGTAGATCCCAATATGATACACATGCCCACCAGGTTTATTTTTGTTTGTTTGTTTTTTTTGAAGCACTCAAACCATCACTCATAACGGATATGAAGTTAACCACTTCACCACAGTTTGAACACGGGTGCAAGGGTACACCCTGGAGCCCAATGGCCGCTTTCGACATGTGCCAATTTTCATAACTTTCAAGTGTCTCATGAAGAATTATAATAATCTGAGCAAAACCAATATGTTCCTTGCATCTTCAGTGCTTGGGCCTTATGATTTCAGATTACAATAGGACCTTCACTTCTTGGTGCTCGGGTCCTAAACACAGCAGCAATCTGTCAATTTTCAGGTTCCTACTTGAAAATTAGGAAGCAGCCGAGTCGTCTAAGATTAAAGCCGCGAGCAGCATCGGTCAGGTTCTGAGAGGGTCCATTGAGTATTCATATGACACTGTAGCAGTCGAACATGTAAATGCTCATGAGTGTGGTCCAGACACGGATCAAGGCCACATTGCAGACTCGTCAGTGGGATCGTCCTGTGCAGCGGACTGATCCAGGACTGCAGTGGCTATAGAAAGTCAGGTTTTGCTTTCACCTCTGCACTGTTGGTTGCTGAATGGTGACAATGAGGCCTGACACACTCACCTTCTGTATCGTAAATATATGCCTCCTAACCAGAGGCATATCAACACTGAAACTTTCCTCTTTTTTCCTAGGATGTGACCTAATTGCTGAATGTGATGGGACTAATTCTCTAACAGTTTGAGGACCCTCTGAGACATGAGGTTAGTGTTGGTGTTTTTGACCTGACTGGAGGGAACATGATGCAGCAGCACATGGTTCCTCTGAAGGAAATGTGGACAAACTGCCAATCACTTCCTGTTTACATTCGTATCATTGTACACAGCAGCTGTAGGTGTTGATCTTACACTCCGTCTGTCAGAGTATTGATGTCGTGACTCTTGGGTTCTTTTGTCTGCCACGTTCACACTGTGGAGGACAGTGGAAAACCAAGCAGAACCTGGAGACACATGAGCTCTCATGAAGTGTAAAGGGCACAGTGTGCGCTCTGGTCCTGTCAGTGGGCTGTAGAGGACATGCAGTGCATAGAGCAATTCATTCTCTTGCAACCCACTGCTGTTGACTCTGCAGCAGTGTTACTTATGAGAACTGACAGCCGATGGTTTGGTAATGTGATGTTTTGATGTTTTTTTTTTTTCCTAATGGCTGTGAAGTTAAACTGTCCTGTGTCGCTGTCTCCAGGTACAGGAGAAGACCCCTGCGGCCTGCTGGGTAAGTTGTGTGACAGAATGCATCTACTATTGACTGAGTGTTTATGATGATTGGCTAAATATGTTCAACTGCTCTGATGTGTGAGTGACACCTGCCTGTCTGAACAACACGCTGCCCTGATGACAATGTGTTGATGGTCCTGGAAACACAAGGTCACCTTCATCCTACCTCTTCCTCCTGCAGGTGTCCTCGCCATCCTGACCTGCTGGTGTCCTCGCCATCCTGACCTTCAGCATCGCTACATCAACATAATGTAAGTACAGAGGACGTATTTTAATGTCACTTCTTCACATGACTCCACTCGAACCATCACCAGTGACTAGTAACAGGTTGGGGGGGGGGGGGGCGCAGCAGCACTGTGTGGTATCTGCAACCAGCTGCTCAATCGGCTGGTTAGTTCAAAAGTCAGTGCTAGACTAACTCAACATCTGGCATCGTTGGTCTCCATGCTGCCTGTGTGTGGAGTCCTGGTATATTTGTTGAAACACTTTTTAACCCCTCAGATTTTAAAAAGCCCAGTCTCCAGTTTCCATGTAGTTTTATCAGAGCTGCTGAACCATGTAAACTGCTGATGGTCACTTATGTCCTGATTGTTCCTCCAGGTCTGAGCTGCAGTAAAGGACGTCCTCCGGTCCCAGACCTCAGCCGGACTTCAGCAGAGGTGAGTGAGGTGACTGGAGAAGTGGTGTCCACCATGAGAGCTGAGGTCTATCCCGACAGACCTTTACCTGTAGGGCCGAGTCGTTGGAAATGCCTCAGAGAGAAAATCTGTAGTTTCGCTTTACCCACGTGTTCACTACCATGAGCATTGTGGGATATTACTGCAGGACACATGAACTGTGACATCACCATTAGGGTTGTCACTTCTTAATTAGAAATTGAAAAGTTTGTTCAAATGTAGGGAGAAAAGTTCATATCTGAGCTGCAATGACCTTTTCAAAATGTAGCTGCAGTCTTTATAAGCGCATCAGACCATAGGCAGGTAATATTGTCAATAGAGCCGCACTTGATCCCGATCATGTTGATAGATTTGCGTTTCTGGCAAATAATTGGCTTGACTATCAGCTCCATCTTTTACCTTTCTACATTTTTAGTTCAAAGGTGTCGGAGCTCCCTATCGACTGTTGTGACGTTTTTTATTCAGGGAGGCTTTTTCATCGTACTGTGTTCAGTGCTACTGTAGCACTTTGAGTTTCACCGATGAAAAGTGCTGCACTTTTAACGTTTTATAGAAAAGTAGAAGTGACGGGCATTAAGAAAACCATTAGTGTTTATATTAATATCTTTGTGATAATTCAGCGCAGAAATATGGTTGATGTAAGACGGGCTGTAAAGTTAATAAAGTAACGCAATTAATGATGTGGTGTTTTGGGGGAGGGGGGCACATTCAAATTAATTTGAGTGAATTGCGTTCATCACTTTGTTTTTTTACTTTTCATATGAACTTTTCTTTAGAACACAGGAAGAATATATAACACACTGAGGGGAAGAAGAAGAAACAAATAAGTCATGGGGGGTCTCTGTTTTAAATGCTTCATGTACAACGAGTAAACTAAAGATGGAGGCACAGTGAGGTTGTTTGGTGTTAAAGGTTTGTTTGCTGTGAAACTGAACTCGTCCTCTTGTCCTTTGTCTTCAGGTCGTGGTGATGATGGACGAAACGTGAGCCATGTGCTGGTGACAGTGGTAAGTGGGTTAGTCTCAGTGGGATTATCAGTTCCCTGGCTGGATGTTTTGGGGAGGGGGGGCGGCAGCACTGTGTGGTATCTGCAACCAGCTGCTCAATCGGCTGGTTAGTTCAAAAGTCAGTGCTAGACTAACTCAACATCTGGCATCGTTGGTCTCCATGCTGCCTGTGTGTGGAGTCCTGGTATATTTGTTGAAACACTTTTTAACCCCTCAGATTTTAAAAAGCCCAGTCTCCAGTTTCCATGTAGTTTTATCAGAGCTGCTGAACCATGTAAACTGCTGATGGTCACTTATGTCCTGATTGTTCCTCCAGGTCTGAGCTGCAGTAAAGGACGTCCTCCGGTCCCAGACCTCAGCCGGACTTCAGCAGAGGTGAGTGAGGTGACTGGAGAAGTGGTGTCCACCATGAGAGCTGAGGTCTATCCCGACAGACCTTTACCTGTAGGGCCGAGTCGTTGGAAATGCCTCAGAGAGAAAATCTGTAGTTTCGCTTTACCCACGTGTTCACTACCATGAGCATTGTGGGATATTACTGCAGGACACATGAACTGTGATGTCACCGTATCGGTGCCCTTTATCTTACAGGAGCCGTTTGAGAGTGTGGCTATTGCTACGTAGCTAATGTTGGCATTATCAGCTGTTCATTTACCAGCGTCATTGTTTACAAGTCAAAAGCCTTTTTTGGGCCCTTGTTACAGGCTAAAATACCTGATTTCACAGCAGCTTTTATCAGCTCTCTCTCTAGTGATGATTGGATCTTCAACCACTTAAACTGTATACATAAATATCGACTGGATTATTATTATAATTTCATCAGGAGATTAAAAGTAGCGGATCATTGTTCCGGCGGCTCTGCGCCTGCAGTTCCACCACAATGTTGCAGCAGTTCAAAACAATTTCATTGCAAAAAACATTGTAACAATCGTCGCAACTTTTAAGAGGCTGCCGCAAAATCTGGTATTTTAGCCGCATCAATCCCCAAAAAAAGCCTGTGAAATCCTGGAGGGACTGATTATTGATACATGGCCTTAAATGAAGTGCAGTAGAAAATAGAAATGATGCTACTCCTTTTTATAAAGATCAGGCAAGATGAATGATGAAAGTAATTGAAGTGATTTTTCTTTCAGATTCCTGAACCTTCCAGGAGACATGAGTCAGCTGCTTTTCACTGTAAGTTTTGTGTGTGTGTGTGTTTGTGTGTGTGTGGTCATATACCAAGGCTTTCAGGACTCTGTGTTCCTGACTTGCTGTGGACTTGACCATAAATTAAAAACCATCCCAGTGGGCTCCTGCAGCAGCTGCTGAGGAGACTTGCTGGGAACATGACCTGTGTTTGCAGTGCTGTCTGGAAACATGATATTTTAATCATGAGTCATTGTCAGATGAATGTGTTGTATGGGACGTAACTACTGTTGAGTTCAACCTTCTGCTTTGTTTTCAGAGGCAGCTGAACGGTGCAGAGCAATTGGTCACTTTGGAAGCATCTGTTGTACTGCACATTTACTCCAACATTTACTTCAACAAATAAAATGTATAAACCTTCCCACTTGACTTAGTGTCTGTTTGTGAACAAATGAAATCAAAATGTGTCTTAATTTTCACTGGGCAGATCTGCTGTTACAGGGAGTCATGACAGACCAGCAGCCTCCTCTGTTATATCCAGTTGTTCTCGGTTACAAGAATAAACTTAATTCAAGAAGTGCAGCATAATACAGACTTCAATAAAAATGAACGAGCAACACACTGAAACTGAATAGAAATGAAAATAAATCACATAGTAAAGTGGTTACTATAGTAGGGTGGCTTGACCCTGGAAATGTCCCTGGTTTTTGACAATTAAAAACAGATATCTAGCTTTGAGATAGTTTTAGCCAACAGAGGGGGCTAGCTGCTAGCTATAACAGCTTTAGGAGTGAAGCTAAAATGAAAATAGATTCATCCAGTCAGGTTTTTTTTATTTGTATATATTGATATTTTACAATCTTAGATCAGAAGTTATGATTGTTTCCTCTGTTTTTAAAGGTGAATTGTTTTAAATAAGATCAAATAGAAAATGTTTAGATAAATAAAACATTTTCTAAAAAGGAGTCTGGTAAATGTGTGAAGCTCACAGGGTTTGGTATTTGTTTAATTCAGAGATAGAAATGATATAAAACAAGGTGCAGTGTCTGTTAAACAGCTTGGACACATCAGGTTTACAACATGGAGCAGCATATTTCCTCCAGTAGGGGGCGGTACGCTCCCTCTGGCAGAGACCGGCCCATGTGGAATGTGAGTCCTGGGCTCATGTAGTTTTGGAAAGGAGGGTATTTTCTGTGTGATGAAACACAGTTTTTAATCTGAGCCTGTGATGTAAAATGGCAACAGTTTGTCCTCCATCTCAGTGTCTTAGTGGACAGGTCCTAGTGTTGGTTTGTGCTCATAACAGCACCCACCTCCAGAGTCTGTCTACCCCACCTGACCCAGGTGGACTCACCTGGCTGATGAACCTGATGTGCTGTTGTTATTCCTCAGCGACGGTGACAGGTGAAGGCATATTGTTTTCAGGTCATCCGTCCTATTCTAGGGAACTTCTTCAAATTTGGCACCAACATTCACTCGGACTCAAGGATTAACTGATTAGATTTTAATGGTCAAAGGTCAAATGTTAAGGTGACGGTGACCTCACAAAATGCGGTTTTGGACATGTGAACGCAGTTACTCTTTAATGCCTTGAAGGAATTTCTTCAAATTTGGTACAAACGCTCACTAGGACTTTTTAGCCATTACTCAAGACTTCACACAGCAATTATGACAAAATTCCACGCAAATGGTTCATATTTTATATGACACGAGATAAACAGGATGTAACCTGAAACTAGTCTGAGTGGAGGAAGGATACAACCACGATGAGGTGATTCTAGTTTGATTGGCTCCCAAACACAGGACTCACCGAGCTCTTTCTCCAGTAAACAGAACACCAACCATCAGCAGCTGCTTCCTACCAGCTGACTGTATTCAGTATGTGTGATAGTAACTCAGATCACATGTGCTCGGTTTAATCGAAAGTGCAGCATCAGCTCGGATGGCACAGTTTACCTTCAGAGCTGAATAACAGCCTTAGACATGGACCAATCTTCACACTCCTCTAACATGTCCCCACCCTCCTCCACAGGAACAGACCAAACCGAGGCCACAGCGTCATTATAGGCTGTTTGTGTTTTTTGTGGGTGAACAATGGCAGTCGACGCAGAACTACGGTTCTCATAGTGGAACAGTCTTCTGCTGGTGTAAAGTGGGTGAGAGTTCACAGAAGGGAACAATGAGATCTCATCGAGCTTCCAGCAACAACAGGCTGACTGTCACATGACACCATCACAAACACATTGCCAAAGAAACACCCGTCGAATCAGGAAATAAAAGTCGTGAGTGTCGCACATTTAAAAACTTTACCATGAGCTGCAACAGATGGAGCGTGGTGAACATGAGTGTGTGCAGTGAGACAGTTGGAGCCACAGACACACCTGCTATTAACACTAACTACACTAAACAAAGACTTCGCCCACATACACACACACACACAAACATTAAACTGGTCACCTTAAACTATCACTGCTCTCTGCATGACTGCATATATTATATATGTATATGCATATCTTATCATTTTACTGTCAGGTTCACTGAATGTTTCTCTCCTGGAGCAAAAATGATCGCCAGCCTGTTCCTGCAGGATCCACCCTGAGGAACCTCATAATGCCAGCTGACGGTGTTTTTCAGTGCTGCCTCTTCCTGACCGCAGCACAGTGGAAACTCCGTGAGCCTGCAGCGCTCAGAGCTCACTGAGACACAATAAATAATCTATAACATGTGCAGACAGCTTTATATGCTCCAGGTAATAAGAGTCTAACACATCTAGTCCAGTCCGGTGTCAGTAGCCTGCGCCATCAGAGATGACACCCCCCCCCCCCACACACACACACACATATATACATCCTCTGGATATATAAAGATATAAGTTTATAACATGTATGAAATACCCATAATATACCCATTAATATGTGTGGGCTACATTTATTAAAAAATATCTATATGATGAATTTTTACACAGAACATAACATTATATATTTAATTTATTTTTATTTATTAAAATAACATACATGTTGAAAAATCTATATGTTTATATATGTTTTTCTTATTCATTTCTTAATTTAGAACATGTCTAACTTCACATTCTGGGAAAGTGGTCTCAGACTTTTGGACTCTTGTGTATATAATATCAACATATGTTGACAGGCTTTGAGATGTTTATTATATTACATATGTCTCAAATATAGCATACATATATAAACTTATGGGCTAAACATATATGTCAGTATATGAAATAGTTTCAGTTTCTAATAGGTTTCATATATAATTTTTACCTATATGTCCATAGCCTATAAATTAAAAACGTATATATATAATTTATATTATATTTATAATATACATTTTATAAATTCATAATTTAACATATGTAAATTACATTTGTGTATGGGTACTATTTTATATTTACTGTAAACTTTACCAATTACACTTCCACACAGTAGATAACAGTACGTTACATTTAAGTCATATTAATAAATCCGATGTAAAGAGTGACGTAGTTGTGTCCTTTTTAACCAGTACATTGTGTGTATTAAAAACAGGTTCAGGGGTCTCGTGGGGTTCGGTACCGGTGGTGATGATGATGCTGGTCTCAGCGTCTCCCTCCCCAGGTTTCTGTTTACTACCATCATAGAACCCCACTGTACAGATCTGAGCCTGCCTCCACTTCCTGTCTCACATTTGCTCAGCATGCCTTACATTCACCCAGCCATGCGGTGTCCACGCGTCGGCTCTGGACGCTGATTGGCTAGAGCCGACACAAACAAAGCTACTCCACCAATGGGAGCGCTGTGCACGCGCTGAGCCATGCTGTTCACTCTGGCTGCTCGTGCCCCGCTGAGGCTCGTCATATAAAAGCGGCTCCGGCTCTTTGTTTACAGCAAAAAGTCCAGAAGAAGCCAAAGCTTCAAGCACAGTCCCGTCACCACAAACCCACAGTCCCTCTTCTTCTCTGTCCTCCACGCCCGTCCGAAGCAGCAATGGTGGCCATGACGAAGAGAGTGAAGACCTTCCAGATTACCTTTACGGATCCCTGCAAGACTTTTTACTGCGGCGGGGACAAGGTGTCCGGCCGGGTAGAGGTGGAAGTGAACGAGGTGACGCGGGTGTCCGCAGTGAAAGTGCTGGGTGTGGGCCGCGCCAAGGTGGGCTACGCTAAAGGCAAGCAGCGCTGCCGACAGGAGGCCGAGTATCTCCGGTACGAGGAAGTCCTGCGGCTGGACGAGCAACCCACAGGTACGGACTCTCTGTTACCTCTCTGTTAGCTGTTCAGGTGGCAGAGCTAGAGTCAGGTATACAGGTATCAGTCACTGTGTCTGAGCCTGAGTTCACCTGTTGGACCAGAGTCTCCGGAGTTGACTTTACATTTCACAAAACTGACGACAACAGAAAACAAGAACATTTACAGGAAGTCCTTTATAGTTAATATAATAGTGTTCTGTGCGCTGAGCATTTATTATTGTATTTATTATTTTTGAGTTACAATCATCTTTTAACCAGCCCGTGAATCCAAATGTAAAGTTACACATAGTGTACAATAATGATAATTGTTATCATAATTATTATTATTATTATTATTATTCATACTGCCCATGTTGACTGGAGCAGCTCAGGTCAGACAGTATCCAGGGAAACATTCATGAACAGGCGACTGAAGATGTTTAATTTTCTCTCCCAGACTCTGATGGATCCATCCTCCTGAGGCCAGGAAACAAATACGAGTACACGTTTGGATTTGAGCTCCCACAGCAGGGGTAAGGCAGCACCTCTCAATCCACGTGACGTCATGTCGTCTGGCTACGCAAATTTTATTCAAGTGTTTTATTTAGTTAATTTAAACGTTGTTCCCATGTGTCATCGCAGGCAGCTTGTGTCATCATACAAGGGGAAGTTTGGTTATGTGGAGTACTTTGTGAAGGCCCTGATGGAGAGGCCGCAGCAGCCTCCCCTCGAGTGCAAGAAGCCCTTTGAGGTGGAGGAGCCCCTGGATGTCAACACCCCCGACCTGCTGGTGAGTTCACTGAAGCAGCAACAGACGGCTGTTTATTCAGCTCGTCATATTCTGGCTCGGACATGTTGAACCTTTTGTGTGTGTTGTATAACGACGGAGTGGAGTCTCACCTTCCTGCGTCTCCTCAGTCTCCCACAGGTGGCATGAAGGAGAAGAAGGTCACCTGCATGTTCATCCCTGATGGCCAGGTGTCGCTGAACGCCAAAATCGACCGCCGTGGCTTCTGTGAAGGCGAAGACATCTGCATCAACGCAAAGTTTGAGAACACCTGCTCCCGTATTGTGGTGCCCAAGGCCGCCATCATTGCCAAGCACACCTACCAGGCCAACGGCCGCACCAAGGTCTTCCGCCAGAAGCTGTCCTCAGTGCGTGGGAACCACATCATCTCAGGCATGTGTGACGCCTGGCAG